TGCGGGAACATGCCGAGATTACCAGTCTTTGGAACGAGGTCAGCTCTCAATTGGATACGCTATGCAACTGGCACTACAAGCCCAAGGTCGCCCAAGCAAGCATCAACGTCGTTACTGATGCGCCAACAATCATGATGGAAGAGGCACGCCCAACGGCTGGTGGTGCTGCCGGTGGCCCTGTTGGACTTGCACCACAGGAGATCTACACACCCGGTGAGGAAGGCCGAGTTAAGGGAGAGGTTGTCCTCAAGACTGGCGCGTCAATCTCCAAGGAGGAGATGACCCGTGAGCAGAAGGCCAAGAACAGACGCCAGAATAAGCAAACCCAAAAGAAGGCCGATGCTGGCAAGCCCACTCAGGAAAAGACTGGCAAGGCAGCCGAGAAGCAACAGATGATTTCAGACCTGAAGAAGGGAGGAGTCAAGGTCATTGACAAGGAGGGCCGTATGACGAATGTGGACGGCGGCTCTGTCCACGAGGGCGCCAAAAACAGAGGAGACAATCTGAAGTTGTGAGGCGGGGGTGAGTTGAATTAAAGGGCCAGTATGTACTATTCAGGAGTCATATTTCTTCTACATAAAATCTATTCTCTAGCATTGCACATATCATCATCTTGTGTCACTTTTCTGGTCAAGACGTTTGGCACGTATCGTGTAGAGAAATATGTTCTCTCTGTTATACGTTTCAGCCCCAGGATCGTCACGGACCTGCTCCATTTCGAAAGCCCTTTTCGCCATCTTCATGAACCGCATATCAGCACGTCTGCGACGCTTGTAACAAAAGTAACAAACCGAGTTCGGTCCCAGGAGGTCCTGGAGCGTGGTGATCAAGAGAGGGAAAGCCGGCTCGAAATAGACGCAGTCTGCCGCGATAATGACATCTGGTCTCGAAGGAATCTGGTCGGGGATTGGTTCTCCCCAGTTTAGTATCGCAGCAGTCGCATTGGCGCCGAGATTGTTTAGTTGGATGTTGGACTTCATTAGGGAAAACATAGGTTCTTGGTCTGTGATATAAATCGGCTGTTTGATGTGACATCCGCGTGCCACGGCGAGTCCAACAAGGCCACCTCCAGCTCCGAGTTCCACGCTATGGAAAGAAAGATTGAAAATTAGGAAACCAAACGTGAAGATATGGATATGTGTGTCCCCCCAGTTCGGAGAGGACAGTCAGTCACCCACATTGTTTTGTCGGATAGATCGGTGGCGTGATGACTGAGGATGTATTTGGCCAAGGCCATTCCTGCTGGCCATAATTGGCCACCGCATCCATCTTTGAGATCTTCTTTTAGTAGCAATGGCTCTTTGAGGAGTCCGTCGAATGAGACGTCTGTGGTCACTGCGGTTTTGAGTTCGGGGGGAGGAGCCAGGGAATCGTTGATTCTGAGTCCATCTGGACTTGAGGGTGGGCTCGATTCTGGACCCGGGAGAGTTGGCATTGGTATCTCTATCATCTTCTTTTTTGGGGATATTTGTTGAAATTGTTGTTGATTGTTAAGCGGAGAAAGTTTTTAGTGGGGGATCTGTAAAGTAGCTTATCGCAAATTAGACCTAGAAGGATCACATGATTGGTTGGGAGGCGATTTGGCTATTGAAATGGATCGAATATAAGAGCAAAATCAAAAGAATGAAATTGGATGGTTTTTTTTAGTTTGTGTAATTCAATATCTGAGGTCTATCATGTATGTGCATTGTATATGCACCAAATCCAGCCAAGACAAGCTTGGGCCCGTGCGAACGTAGATCTATGCCGATACTCGTGTCTTATTGATATAGTAACATAGTTAGTAGGTTATTGAGTAATAGTGATTTACTAGATCTAAATATGATTACCTAGGTATATATCTAGGTAACTATGCAACAAAAGGTACTATAAAGCTTGCGTGGGGACTATCGAATAGACTTGGCGATCCATGTGGGTTCACTTTTACCTAATTGCTCGATAACCTTGAAATATGGATCTACATCTACCTACCAGAGCACAGGGACTGTCAAAGGACAGCTAAAAGTGTTCTATCGTTACATCCATGCTTTGAAGTTACAACCACCAACTCTAGGCTCACACCCAACTAGCAACTACACGCCGCAAGCAAGGAGGAAAGAAAATTGGAAAACATCGATGTCATAGTCGTGTACATTTATATCCATTAACTAGTTTAAGCGCAAGCTTGAGAAGTACATCTGATCACAACCGGTCAGAAGTTCTTGCCTGAGAACTTTGATCTCACAATCTCTTTACTCCTTTAGTCGAATGGGTTAGTGCGTGTTCCCCACCAGGTGAGGAACAAGCTGAGTCCAACAGTCTCGAAAACTCTCGAGACCGCACCAACAGCGATAGTGTCGAGGGGCCGTTTCTCAGAGAAGACCTGGCTCACAACCTGTATATATTTGTCAGGGGAGGTGCTTAGGGAGGGGGTTGTAAGGTAGGATTGATTAGGATTGATTGGGAACGTACGCCTGGAGCTGAGCTTGCGAAGAAAATAAGTGTACCTAGGTACGCAGCACCCTTGTAGCTCAGTGTGCCGGTGGCATTGATCAGGGCAGCAACACCGTAGGTCTGCACGGCACTTCCAGCGAGGGAGCTTCCCCAGGCTGCGGCTGCGCCGGCAGCTTCCTTCGATTTGATGAATTCCTCCTTGGAGTTGGCAGCTTGAGCGCGGTGGTAGGTGTCACCGAAGACGGGAGCTAGGATTCCCAGGGAGGCAGTGTGGGTGAAGATTGTACCCAGCGCAATGGCGGAGGGCTTCACAGGGGGGAGGTCTATATGGTAGATGTTGTTAGATTCCAAGTATAGGATGATGAGAATAAGGATATCAACTCACAATGCAGGGTAGTCATTTTGAAGTTATTATGAGGAGTTGTAGAGAGAAAGTAAAGCAGAAGAGCCCAAAGTACTTTAAGTACAAGACGTCGCTGCAGGGTTTGGCGAGGTGACGTCGTCATGATTCAGCGTGTAGGATGCGGAGGGCCATGACGTCAACTCGCATATGAGTTCGATTAAATTGTATATTCTACATATAACTAGTACATAGTACATTCAAGAGAGTCAAGATGTTAAGAAATGTTGGAGATATTTCATGAGTAAGTTCATCAGTAAGTTCATATAACCTACGTTGTGGCTAAATTGATTTGTAGAACCCCTTGGAGGTCCTTGAGAAGTATGCAGGTGCACCATGAAATATCGCACATCATTTAAATTTCAAGACCTTTTTTTCTTTAAAAACTAGCCTAGGTCGTCTAGAAAGGTCCATCAATACCGGGCTCCTGTATGATTTGTTCCCCTCTAAGGTACCATCGGCACTATCCATACCAGATCCGGACATGCATGTAGATCAAGGGCGATTGACAAGTTGGCAAGCTCGCAATACATGACACATAGTACAATATAACTATAATACAATATATATTACAAAAGATCACATCAGATCATAGGGCCGTCTTAAGGCTGTTTCACACAATTTCAATTTTCTCATTTCCCTTTTGGTTCCACATCTAACCCCAAAACTTGATTGCGTTTTCCGGGGATCTTTCAAGCGGGGACAGCAAGCCAGGTCCAATCAAGACCCCGACTACGATGTACTCACTTCTACCACCTAATGGTGCTGCGCAGCTGCTTTAGGTGTATGAATGGTATTCCACCAGTGCCCATTGTCAATAAAAGAAAAAGTGGACACCTCGGGTATTTGTGTATAGCCGCTACATGCTGAACTTGCAATTGCCGCTCGAAAGGAATGAAAACTAAAATGAAAATGTATTTCCTTGCAGAATGTGCTGGTCTAATCAAACAAAGGTGCGGCAGGGATATCTGTGTCCAATGGTTAGCCTGGATCAATAGAATGGGCAATAGAATGGAGAATTGAAGATACATACTTCTCGGGGTAGCCGTTCTCTGTACCAAGCTCGTACTTGGACTGTGAAGGCTTCGAGACAGGGTTGATGTTGGCAGGGTTGGGGGGCAAGCCATTGGCACCCAAAACACCCTGAACGCTCTTCTTATCTTGCTCAAAGAGAGCCGCGAGGCCGCGTTCTTCACCCTGCTCCTTGACAGCAATCAACTGCTGCTCGCCAGCCTGTCCGATTTTGAGAACTTCGTCCTTGGGGGCAGCCTGGCTTCCGACTGTGAGCAGACTAACGGCGTCGGCCTGGCGCACGGTGCTCAGCTGGGGGTAGCTCCTCCGGGCGTCCCGCTTCCAGTATGGGTTGTCGGCGATGTCACCCGCGGGGAGGGTGACTGGGTCATCGTAGGCAAGAGGGGGCACAGAGCCCGGGGTGGGGAGACGGTATTGAGAGTTCAGAGGGATACCCGTGGAACGTTCAGGGTCAATAGCGAGAAGGCGACGAAGGCGCTCCCAGATGCCGGTGGACTGGACTGAGTATTTCTAGAGCGCGAAGAGGGTTAGCACCCATCGCACGGTGCTGGAGTTTGATCTCCTCATTTCTGTCAGTATGGCCTACCTGGTTGATAGAGATGACATTGGATGCCGACTTGGCGGCATTCACGATACCGCGGGCCATGGTGAGAAGACTCTGACCTATGAGTTAATATCAGCCCATTGACACACACAGTGCAGGAAATTGTGAGGGGCAGAATTGGCTCTGTGTCCTCGAGTAATTTGACTTACTGCCTGAAATCCCTAGAATCCGTCAAGAGTCCGTAGCAAGCCTTTAGATTGAGCCGGTGCGTCGAGGGTAACCCCGGAGGTGCGATCACTGGCACGGATTATCTTGTTGCCGAGGCACCACACAAATTCTTGTATTAGTAATGGTCTTCAACCTTCAACCTTCAATGATTAACAAGAGCAAAGTCTCAATAACTATGATGTTTCTATGCATTCTAGTGTTCACCCTTTGCCGATTTTTGATAATTTCGAGTAAAACTACCTGTGAATTCTTCCTTACCTTGCGTCCAGAAGGAACGGTAAACACCAATACATCTTGTTGTGTTACACAGAAACTTGCAGTAAACATAGAAATAGTAATTTGTGATGGACTTCTATATACTTTTTATGTTAAGATGACAGACCCCCGGATCGAGGCATCCACAGCAGATTTCCTGATCCCTGGTGCAGGGCCAATGCACATGGCATTTTCCGCGAGTAGATGCACTAGCTTATCAAGATCGACAGTGACTCGAGAGGCTTGTGCAATAACCTGGGCGGTCTGATGATTCGAATCCGACTGCGGGATACTCAGTGCATCAGTTGTGGGGACATCAGCCATAGCGGTTGGATGGATTTGGCTATTGGAAGAAGGCAGCGATCGTATCGGCCCCGGAACCCCGAAAACTGAATAGTCTGCCGGCTCATGACCATGAAAATCGGCCGATAAAGTTATAAAATGGCGTTGCTCCATGCTGCCTAGTTGTGACCGGGTATTGCCCATTATATCCCTGGTCATTTCCCCTCTTGTTTCATCTCCTAGCAGGGCGAGCATATTTATGCTCTGCTCAATGTCTGGGACAAATGGTTGATGCATAGTGTCGTCTGTAGGTGTTGTGTCGTTCGAGGCGGTGTTGCGCAGATAGATTCCTCGCTCCTCCAGGTATTCCTCCACATCCACGGCCTCTAGCCACTCTCCTTGCAGGGGCCCGAAGTTTGTGTCTAGTCTTGTCCGTGTTTTGCCTCTTACGATTTGCTGCACCAACGGAGCTGTCGCTCTTGGGATGGTCTTAGTCTCACCTTCAACAACGCGGTACATGCGCGGTTGCTGGGAAGTGAAGCGGAACGGATACCGGAAATCAGTAACAGAAGGATGGAATATCGACAAACGTTGCAGTGAAATGACCATTAGCGCCTCTTTACCTAGCAACTGAAGAGGAAGAGCCAAAGCCGGGGGTTGGCTCCCATACACCGTGCTATCGGATAAGATAGGCACCACACGCTTGATGCAAGCTCGAATGACCCTTGCTGACACTGGAATCTGGTTGGAAGTTTTGGTCTGTAGAAATATGGTTCTGGTCCCGGAGTCCACGGTGATTGACGGGCCTGGAGTAAGCACCTCATTCAAAACAGGCTCCGAGCTCCACTCGTTGTGTAGTTCTTCGTCCACTGCAGTTGTAGGTGGCTGGCTCCGCGTTCCGGGTGCTTGTTGATGAGAGCTAGGACTGATATCCCCTAGAGCATGCGGACAGGATAACACCTTGTTCGTGTCAGATGCAATGGCAACCATTTTTGTTACAGCGTCGTTCAGGTGGAAAAGGATTTCCGGCGAACTACTGATCTGCGGGGTATCCAGAATACGCCGATGGAGTGTGGAAAACGTTGCCAGTGCGTTGTCTAGAGCACTGCTAAGCTCGTCAGCGCGGACCCTTTCGGATTCTTGTGCCTTTTTTTTCCGGGCACGGTACGAGCTCTGTGCAAGACGCATCCGTAGCCGCTTCTTCTAGAGCGAGTGCACCCTCATAATCCATGTTGTAACTGAAGAAACTTTGGGCTGGGAAAGGTAGATGAGAAGGGGGAGCTTGGAGATATCTAAGGGTTGATATATATATTTCATGTAGATAGAGGTAGGTGTATCTTTAATGGAAGTATGTTGATGATAATAAAGAATATATGAAGCATTGGATATCGCGTTGATTACTCTTATTAATCTTATTGATTTTATAAATCTCGTCTATAGTCAATTCTACCAATTGATTGACTTAATTCCTATAAAGACTCGGCCAACTTAGGTCTTAGACGGTAATTTAAATACTCAAAAATACTAGAAGAATCTGCATTACTTATGAATCTGCCAAGAATTGGCATTTTTGTATTGTTTGAGGCCCATTGGGCCCCTATAAAAGCCCAGTGGGCGTTTATCCTAGGCCTAAGGCCTATCGATTGGCCCAAGGACTGGCCCAAAGACCAGCCCATTTGCGGGTTGGTCCGGGTTGGGCTATAGGCTTTATGGGCCGGTGCGGAGATCTAATTCGAGCAGACAGGAGATGCTGAAGACAAGAATTTGCAGGTCTGATGTCCTTTTTCAATTCTACATTTAGCCCAACGTTACTCAAGGGTTGTCAATCTCATAGGGTCTTGTCAAGTGAATAATGAAGTTGTATCAAATTGTCGCTATAGATAGCCTCGCCAACAACAAATGAGGATTGGCGAGTCCGAAACCATCGCCCCACATGCCATATCGGGTGCGCGAGAGCGAAGCAGAGCGCATGGAACTATACTCCAACAAAGAGAGAGAGAGAGCGAAGAGCCAGAACTGAACAATACTAGACCCCAAATTCCGTAGTAGGCAATGATTGCGGCTTGAAGTAATTGCTTGAGTGCAAATATGGACGACAATTCTCCAATCTCGGAGTTACTATTCGCGGTGGTGCTCTGTGGCCAGAAAAGCGACTCCGCGTCTGGCTTCATTGAAGTTCATGCAGCTGTGGATCATGGTATATTTCAGCTTGGGGTTACTCCAATGACCCGATTTCAGTTCGAACTTAAGAGCGGAATAGGGGCAACCGGCTTCAGAGTAAATTTCCTCTCATCATCTCACGGAACATAGCCAGTATGTCTTCTAGCCGCGAAGCAGTCAACACAGAGGAGGCACCTCCTCCTCGGCCATTCTACAACCAAGCAGTTGTTGCAAATGGTTTTGTCTTCTGCTCTGGTCAGCTTCCGAAGGACTCTACCGGCAAGATTGTCTCGGGGACCGTGCAGGACCGTGCAGTATGTTATCGAACAACGAATCTGGCGACTCATTTTGTCTTCATCCAGAAAGACTTTACCTGACTCTACCTTAGAACCAATGCATCAAAAACTTGAAAGCAGTGCTAGAATCAGCCGGATCCAGCCTGGAGAAAATGGTTGAGGTTAATGTTTTCCTGGCCGATATGGGAGATTTCGAGAAGATGAACGAGACCTATTTGCAGTGGTTTGGCGAGATAAAGCCCGCTCGAACGTAAGTAAACATCTGCTTCCCTAGCATGTGACAGAGACTGAAATACGCGAATTATGGAATAGTTGCGTCGCCGTTAAGTCGATCCCTGAGTATACCGACGTCGAGATGAAGTGTGTTGCGCTCCTATGATTTGAAGATACTCTATGTACCGGAACGGGATTCGTTGTCTAAAATAGCTTCTTCTTATTAGTAAAGATATTACAGGTTTCTATATTGCAAATCCTGGGTAGTACCTACGTTTCCCTGTGTAAGTCTTAAGGTGACCATCCGGGTCGTATCAGACTTTCAATTTTTTACGAGAGCGGCAATATGGTCAGATCTCTTGTGTTAATGTGATCCTGAATGGAATTTTAGGGGATATTCGAACAATATTGGTGACTGCTGTTCTCTCGATGCTGATAATTGTGAAGGGTCGCTTCAGGCCATAATAAAGCCATCTCTTCCTTAACTCATACAATTAGATAACTTTTTTTCCTGATCTTAGTATGCTCGGGATGGTGTTTTTATTTCATGGTCTATTCTCAGGTGGCACATGGTCGTCGTACCCCGAGCGAGGTCTTTCTTCTTGCTTTGAATGACTGTTCAAGTGGTGCACCAACGAAGGACACTTGACAGAAATTTAAATTAGAAAGAAGATCCACAAGGATGTAAGAATGTCAGCTTCGGACGAAAACTTACGATGACATCTGATCTCACACTTTAAAATGAAGTAATCGCAGTTGGCCTGGTTATGTCTGCCAACTTTTGCGCGAAAAACTGTCCGCAAAATGATGATCAGGTACTTAACTCTTCATATTGATTGGGACCAATTCGGAATATAACCGTCCCGATATCCCTCTTCTCCCTATCGTTACGATCCTGTCGAAGTGCTGGCTATTATACGACGTATGCTTTCCGGTGCCACCGCCGTCGTCATCCGGCAGCGCGATAGCGTAAATGTCATTACCGGCGGCCTTCTCCTCGTTGATCAGCCGAATAGTCTCCAGGGCCTGAAAGACTGGGAAACTTCCCTCCTCCATAATGGATGATATACTCCATTCATGCAACCATTTCTCGACCCATCTCCCGATCGTGATATTTTGACACCGAAGAAGACAAGCAGTAAGGAGACTGGAAACTCCGATCGAGTAGACATTGCCCATGAAGCAATCCTGTTTGTTGAGACCAGACACAACGCAGACCAATAAAGTCATCCAGAAGTTGATTTCCTTCTTTTCAGGATTATTTGATTGACCGCGCGTACACCTCAATTCATGAAACAGCGCAGTGCATTGCATGATTCGGGAACAAATATAGTAGGCGTAGTTCATTGCGAAATAATGTGATCTGAACATAAGGGGACGGATGCCCCCTTCATCGTGGTCCACAAGGCCAGAAAATGATTCTATGGGGAGCTCTGACTGCGGAAGTCCAGCATGCCATTCATCGAGCCTCATTGATTCGATTTGTAGATATGCAACACATTCTTCAACGGTAACACCTGAGGTCTGCGTTCCACAAGGCCCCAGCTGTAGAAGAGCGATGTTATTGAGACGATATGATTCGCACAAGATCGACGTGACTATAACTCGCCTTGCATTGGTTGAGCGAAGCATGTTCGAGATAACTGGAGATAGACAAAGCGGGCCTTGACTAAGTTGAAATGAGAATGAGCTGAAATTCATTCTGAGCCACCAAGTGTGGTACTTTGATAAAACACATGCCGCAATTATTTCACGACCTATTGGTTCTGATGATATTGTTGTGAGATGCGTATTTATGAACGTGTCAACGCCTTGGGCGTGGCAAGCAAAACTCGCAAAGTTTCCCATCGTGGACTCAAAGTAACATAATAGAACCATCGCAGCCAAAATGTGTGGTATACTACTGGGTGTACCTTTGCCGATGGTTTTTGCGATTTGCTTGATTGCTGAACCGTAGTAGTGTTGACTTGATAAAAGGTAGTCACGCTTAGGACGATATATGATTTGTGAAGATGACGTTTCAGTCCCTCCTTTAGTTCCTTCTGGCAACGATCGACTCATATTGCAAGCCGAGAGAGCCAAGAGAGCATGCATTAGCGGCGCATGTTCCTTGGCCATGGCAGTGATTTGTGCCTGGAATGACGGGAGTGATTGCACACAAGACTTCTCCCAGTGCGTGAGATAAAACAACTCATTTTCTGATCGACCGAGAGACCTTATTATGGTTGAACTTGGCAATGGGGACGGAAAAGTCGTAGTCAGAGATTGGGGTGTCGGTGGACTGCATGAGAGCCGTTCATCGTGGATTGGGTGAGGCGCAGGCGTGGGAGCATTGTCTGAATGGTTGGGTTCAATTAAGAAATCATCAGACCCATAGTGATACAACTCATCATGGGTGGTTGTGCCTTGGGCAGATAGCTCTTTGCTGTGTGTCGTTTTTTGTTTAATGAGGCGAACGCCTTGTGGTCTGGCGCCAAGCATAACGCCATCGCGGAAGTCGAATTTGGGAGTGACCACTTCACATTTATCTCCGCGGCGCATACATGCGCTGCATGACGGCTGCTTCTCGTCGCACTGTGGGATATTAGCCCCCGGGGTTTTATATCTAATCAAACCCGGTAAAACGTACCTTCACTCGGCGTTGTCGGCATTCTTTGCAGCCAGACCGGGAACGGACGATGCTCGTTTTCTTGGGGCGTCGCGGAGCAGGCTTGTACATAGCTTGCTTTATTAAATGCACGGAGGAGCATCCGAGGATGATGAGTCCTGTGTACTCTGTGATCCTCTGGGGATGGTGCGACTTTTACGAGAGTCGACACTGTCACAATCGGCTTTCGGCGGGTCTTCCAAAAAGTTTTGTCACGGGACCCCCCGCCCAGGCTTCTTACCCCGACTTTATGCCTTCCAATCCTGGTGTCGAGATATACATAGTGGTGTAGTGGAATACACCCGAAATTCTTCAGTTTTATTTGTATCGTGATTTCTATCTTTGTACTAGGGGACTTCCAACCTCCCTTGCCCTACTCATACTCCCCAAGCAAGGACACCCTAACGTGTCCTTGCAGCATCGGCTCTTTTCATCTTTTCTTCAACTGAATTCTGCTGACACAGGGTACACAAATGATTAGATCAATTCAAGCTTGATCCTGATTTACAAGCAGTTCAAACGAGCTTCCCGATATCTGGATACACGTCATATCTCTTCTGGTAGCTAATAGGAATCGCCTGGCGAGACTCCCTGATAACACCCGGTTCCAATGTCGCATATATGATGTCTTCGCTCTCCTTGGCCCCGGCAACAATTCGACCCATCGGATCGCTGACCATGCTATACCCCCAGGCAGGGTATGAAGGGGGTGGTGCCCTAGATTGCGAGCACAGAATACTGTAGACCTGATTATCGACTGCCCGAGACCGACCAAGAAGCTCCCAATGAAGTGGTCCAGTGGTTGTGTTAAATGCGGAGGGGAAAACTAGCGCGAAAGCACCCTTCCGGGTTGCAATCGTACTTAGTTCTGCGAATCGCATGTCATAGCATATTCCGATGCCGATTTTGCCATATCCATCCAAATCCACAATGGTAATCTCGTTTCCTGGGGATAAGGTATCTGATTCATGAAATGACATGCCACCGGGAATATCGATGTCAAATAGATGCATCTTGCGATAAGATGCAAGCAATTTCCCTTGAGGAGAGTATACCGTGCAGGTATTATAGATTTTGCTGGTCTGGTCACACTCTGGAATACTTCCTCCTATGAGAAAAACGCCAGCATCCAGGGCCACCTGCGCCAATGCGGCAAAGGTAGGTGCCTCTGTGGGGTCGGGGCATGATGACAAGGGCTCAGCATACTCGCGAAACTTTGTCGTGGAATATGGCGAGTTGAAACATTCCGGAAGAACAACAAGAGAGACGCCTGCGGCTGCCGCTTGCAAGACCTTCTCTCTCACCTGAGCAATATTATCAGCTTTGTTGGGACCTGGACCAGTAGGTTAGTTTTATGGCAACAGCAAACGAAGAAGTTGCTCTTACCACTTGCTATTTGGATACAAGCTACTTTGAGTGGCCTTTGGAGAATTTCATCACCAAGTAGTGGCATGTTGACGTTCTGATGTATGTAATATCAAGAAAATTAGATGTCGGTCATTTAACCAAGAACTTCAGCTGCTCTCTAAAGTTGAAGTATTTGAGGGTTTCATCCTCGAAAGTCCAGTGCCTTTCTTCGTCGGGGTAAGGCGTATGGAGTAATTAATTCCCCAACGAAAAGTGGAGGGATACCTAGGTATGACTCCAAAATCCTTTGGAGCGGCAAACAGATCAGCGCTGTCTGTCACCTGCAATCTGGTTCTGGCGACTCTTTTGGACTCGGCTTAGTCCAATCCAAGCCCGTAGGACGATTTCTCTGAACCCGCACAAATCTCCACCTTCCCGATGCGGTGCGCGGGAACGAGCTTTTGAACAGCCTACCGGTTACTCCCACACACACCTCGCTCCCGGGAGATAAATCAGGGTGCATACCTCGTCCACCATGTACCCCAATAGAGTGGCGTCCCTGGTGTGAACAATTCCATTCATGCTTCAGTTGTCATATTCTATAAGACTCGGCACTGCATATGGAATCCCGACAACTGTCCCCTTCATTGTGTGCCACTGTATAAGAATACACCATGGCGGACCAGAAGACCTGCCCTCCGCTCACGTCGGATTCAATCAGGGCTGCATATCCTCTGATCAGTCCATACATCCATCAAACTCCGGTACTAAGATCAAAAACTCTCGATCGCATTGCTTCTACGGCCCAGGAGGAATCTGCACTCAAGGGTACGGCCTTTGAAGGACAGAAGCCTGCGACCCCCGTTTTTCGACTTTATTTCAAATGTGAAAACTTCCAGAGAATTGGGGCTTTCAAAGCGAGGGGCGCCTTTCATGCCCTATTGAGACTCTGTTCTGTATTGGGGATTGATCAGGTACGCAAGCGCGGCGTGACAACGCATAGTTCTGGTAAGGGAGCATCCCCTAACTTGGATGGTCGATCGGGACAATTCTGACAATGAAAAGGCAATCATGCTCAGGCGCTTGCGTTGGCGGCATTCACCTTGAACATTCCTGCCCATATCGTGATGCCGTCGATCTCCACCAAATCCAAAATAGCTGGAACGCGTGCTTACAACGCTCGTGTTCTTTTCAGTGGATCAACTGAGCCAGAACGCGTGGCTATGGTTGAAGGAATCATCAAGGAGACGGGTGCTATTCTCGTTCCTCCTTACGACCACCCTGATATCATTCTGGGTCAAGGCACCGCGGCGCTCGAGCTTGAAAATCAAGTGGAGGATCTACTGAAAGCTTCCGGTGATGAAATCAATCCCAGAGGTGGTTCGACGCTGAATGCTGTTATCACACCCCTAGGTGGAGGAGGCTTGCTCGCAGGAACCGCTACTTATTTCTCGAGCAAACCTTCCACTTACGTTTTCGGAGCTGAGCCATCATTCGAGGGCGGCGATGATGGCCGACGGGGTCTCGCTTGTGGATCTCGGATTAGTACAGTCAGTACCCTGACAATTGCGGATGGGCTTCGAACACCCCTTGGAGAGGTTACCTGGACCGTTATCTCTGATCAGAAGAAAGTTAGGGGTGTCTTCGCTGTAACCGAAGAACAGATCAAAGAGGCGATGACGCTTATTCTAGAAAGGTTGAAGGTCTTCATCGAGCCAAGTGCTGCTGTGCCACTTGCAGTCATCCTGTTTGATGAGGAGTTTCGACAAATTGCAGAAAAAGAAGGCGGAGAGAAGGGGTGGGATGTTGGTGTGATTCTGTCAGGAGGTAATACTACGGTAGAAGCAATCTGTCGTCTTTATGGAGAGAAGTAGGGCCGAATAAGAAATCGATATTGTCACAAGTACTTTGATACATATGTTTCTTTCTTATATCGCTCTACAATCCTCCAATATCCTCGGTTCTGCTGTAGAACTTCAAATAATGTTAGGCTCAAAAGGTATTTCTAAAGGGGATTGCTACTGCGACTCCCCCTCCCCCCCATGTCTAATTCGACCCCCCTTTATCTAATTTGATACCCCCTGCCTGACCTTCCAGGCATCTATTCCTACTTTTTACCGATTAGCTCACCACCCTTTCTCACTGCGTACGAATTAGATCACCGCCTAGTATTAATACCATTGCGTGTACGAAGTATTGAAGCTATTCACACTTTGTAGGGCTATACCCGATTAGGAGTACTAATGCTACCCCCTGAAATACCATCCCCTGCATACTGCCATCTCCTATATCACTACTCTCGTAAGGTAAGCTAGCGTAATGACTCGAATAACACGTGTTTAGGAAATTAGCCTCTATTTCCCGATTAGGATAAAATGAATAAAAAAAGGTAAGTTCTAGCCGTGCCAGGCGCCCAACAACCTTCAGGTTGTTGGGCGACCCCACCAGATACCCATTTTTCACCAGATACCCAAATTCCAATTTTATGTATCTTTTGTATGGCTTACCTATAAAAAAGGTACTTAGACACCCGGTAAACATAACATATATTTTCTCAGCACTGGAACTAGCGAGGGAAGATATAAGAAGATATATATAGTGTAAAGGAAGTCTACATTATTTAACCAAACTTTGATAAGGAATATTAAGTATGCTAAAATTAAGAAAGTACCTAGTTATTTCTACTATATAGCCTTCATATAGTGTCATTTTAAAATTATTCTTCTTCTTTTATATTAGATACTAAGAATTTCTACTACCATTAAACTAATTAAGCTAGACTCTTAATATATATTCGTATACTTTCTATTACTTTAGCTAGTTCGAGTGCTGAGAAAATGCATGTTATGTTTACCGGGTGTCTAAGTACCTTTTGTATAGGTAAGTCATACAAAAGATACATAAACTGTAAATTGGGTATCTGGTGAAAAATGGGTATCTGCTGGGGCGCACCAACACCACACCAACACCAGGGGACCTGGTGTTGGGCGCTTGGCACGGCTACGAATTAAAATGATATATTCCTAGAATCCTAGTACTAGTATAAAGGTAATTTTTCGGTATACTATAAGGATGTTAGTAGTATTGTATTTAATTGTATTTAATACTCTAGAGTTTACTAGGCATTTATATAGTAAAGAGAGGTATAGTGACTCCGTAAAAATGTAATATGTACCATGGAAGATTATGTAATCATGCTTAGTAATTACCGCACAGAAACAGCAGTTTCTATTATGTAGAAAATGCAGAGTTCTCCATATCAGCCCTGAGGTCCATACATTTCAATACGTCAGATTTCTGTCAGTTATGAGCCCGGTTTGCATTTCAAAACCTGAGTACTAGTCGTCGGTTCGAGACCCAGGGTGCGCAAATGAATTAGGTTCCCTTACCCTTGTATGAAGTGATGACGATGGGGCAAAGCGAAATAAGCTACCCTAGGTCACAAACTAAAAAAGGAATTGTGACGCAGGCGGAACCAAAAATCATGAAGACGATAGTATATGAACATGTTACAGGGAATCCCGACAAAAAGTCGCCATCCACTGGGGGTGTGTCAGACTGGGATATGGTCTCCCTAGGCCCTAAACAGGAACCGAGGTTTTTGTTATGGTCTAGTGGAAAAGACGCCGTATTTATTCCCACATAATACTACCTCTTCCGCTACCGTCTTCTTAATTAGTGGATAATTAACCGGCAGAATCTAGGGTATGAACACTTTTACGGAGTATCTTACGAGTTGGCAGAATGACCTGGCAGAATTGGGCAGAATTGGCAGAAAGACTTGATGCCTGAGAGGTCAGGCAGGGGGGTCAAATCAGATAAAGGGGGTCGAATTAGACATGGGGGGGGGTTCGCAGTAGCAATTCCCAAAACAAAATACCAGCATCATCAACAACCATGAAAGAAGCATACATCAACAAAGACCTCAACGTCGAGATCCGCGACGTTCCAATGCCTACAGCTGGGCCGGGTGAGCTACTCATCCGCACAGTGGTGTCAGGCACAAATCACAAGGACTGGAAAATGCCCAAACTGGTAGGCGGGGACCCAGCGAACCATGGCGACGATATCGCCGGCTACATCGAGGCAGTCGGCGAAGGAGTCACGGGATTCCGTCTTGGTGATCGAGTGGCTGCCTTCTACTAGATATTTACTCCCTATAGTAGCTATATAGAGTACTTAGTAGTAGCCGCTAAGGTAATATTCTATCTCCCCGATACTACCTCCTTTAAAGGTACGAGTCTCCTTTATATATATAATATATATATTAATCCTTACTAACAATTAATCAGAGGGTGCGACAATCCCGCTTACCGGAATAACCGCGGCTCTTGGAGTCTATTAGCGACTCAAGCTGCCTCTACCATAGAACCCAGTCACTGCCCCAACGCCCCTGGTGGTCAACGGAGCGGCAACAGCTGTGGGAGCTTTCGCTATCAAGTTCGCAACCCTGTCTAACATCCATCCCATCATCGCCATCGCGGGAAAGGGCATTCCATTCGTGGAGAGCTTGCTTAACAAGGGGAAGGGTGATATCGTTATCGACTACCGACGGGGAGCTGCTTACGTCAATGAGAAACTTTGTAGGGCCGCCGAAGGACATGTTATCTCTTACGCGTACGACACTATATCTGATAAAGCAAGCCTAGAGATACTTTCCAAGGTTGTTTCTGCAGAGAACGGAAAGATTATGAGTGTCGTGCCCAAGGAGGACGAGGTAATTGATGGAATCACAGTGCTGGGATCTAATGCTGGTCTGATCCATGCGCCTGCCAAAGAGGGAGGAGCCAAGGTTGGGGATGCGGAATTCGGTGTCACCGTTTACAATCTGATTAGTCTTGGCCTGGCCGACGGCTGGTTTTCGGGTCATCCTTACGAAGTTGCTAAGGGAGGACTGGATGGACTTGAGGGTGTCTTGAAGGATCTCGAGGCGGGCAAGGCATCTGCAAAGAAGTATGTCCTGCGCTTGGCGGAGACACCTGGGGTATTTGGGAAATAGGCCCAGGTTTACTGGACGCGGTATACGAAACTTTTTACCTTCGCTCGATTGTCGCTGTTTAGTAAAGTCATGTATTTATCTATCTAAATTGACTACCGAGAAATGTGAGAATAAATTCGAACCACGTTCAGACAGATCATGGGAGAAAGGTTCGTATGATCTACCCACAGTCCTTAGGTTCACATAGAGCCGACAGGGAGAAATATTTCGCCCAAGTGGTACGAAAATATGATATAAAATAAATACGACCATCACAATCACTGCGCGATGAGTATAATCGTAACTGTTTCGTTCGACGTTGAGAAAGCATCTATGGATGAACTGCTAGCGAAATAAGTCGTTAAAGAATATCTATATATAAACAGGATATGCGTGACTAGAAAAGCCAGGAAAGACCATTTCTGTAAATCTTCTTCCAGCCAGACAAGTTCTGGTCCTCGATGGCCTTCTTAGCCACATACTCGGCCTCTTCGCGGTCAATTTCGGCCTTGCCGGTCCAGATATCGGCATTGTGGGGCTTGATAATCTCAGTCCTCTTCCCAAGCTTCCACCCAGCAAACGCCATGACATAGAGGGGGACTCCGATGTATGAAGTGATAAAGGTCTTATAGTCGAAGTTGCCGTATGTGTCGGGGCTGTGAATAAACACACCGAAGCTGCGAGTGAAGAGCACCAAGACACAGAAAAAGAGTGCAACACCGGAACCGATGATTCCCAGGGGAGCCTTGTAGGCCAGTGTTGCCTCGTCGACGCCCTGTGCACGTCGGGCGCGAATGAAGAAGATGTGAGTAATCAAGAGGGATATCCATGTCAACACTATGATAGCAGGTCAGTATACTGGACAAACGTCGAGTTGGTGGAGAGAAGCGAACATACATCCGAAGATTGAGACCATATCTGTGAAGTATCCGAAGACATCCTTGGAGCCACTGGAAACACTCATAAAGGCAAGCAAGCAGAAAGAAGCCGAGAGTGCCAGAGCATAGATTGGGACACCAGCTCGGTTCGTGCGAGCAAAGATTCTAGGGGCCTTCCTCTCGCGAGCGAGACCGTACAGAGTTCGAGTCGCAATGTACAGATCAGAGTTGGCGGCGGAAAACACAAAGACCAGGATACAGCCGTTGATGATGTGAGGAAGGGCAGCGACTTGCTTCATTGCCACCACGAAAGGTGAGGCAGCAGCAGAGCTCTTGGCCTTGGTCGCGAAGACCAGATCCGGAGAGTTGTATGGAACCAGCATACCAAGGAAGAGTACACTGAGAATGTAGAACACGATGATTCGCCAGAAGGTGAGCTTGATGGCTTTGGGGATGGTCTTCCGGGGGTTCTGGGCCTCTCCGACAGTCACACCGATAAGTTCGGTACCTGGTAGACAATAAGATTAGAAGATGAAATGGGGCAATATCAATCATAGAATGTCCATACCGAGGTATGCAAAGGTAGCCTGCACCATGGTCGACCAGAATGCAAGGAATTTGCCAAGGGAACCACCAGTATATTTAGTGGCGAAGGCACCAGGTTCCTTCCAGTAACGGAAACCTCTCCTGTCATGGTCGGGACCACCACCAAGTGCAAAGATGAGAGAGCACAGGATAAGTCCCAGAATAACAATGACCTTGAAGGATGAGAGCCAGAACTCAAGTTCACCGAAAATCTTGACGCCGAAGTAATTGATAACGATAATTGCTACCATGAAGATGGCAATCCAAACACCAGGGTTGACATTCTCTGCTGATGTTTTTGGCCAATAGGTAATGACTAGAGCGGCGGCAGTAAGTTGTGTGGGTGGTAGGATAATATATTTGAGGTAGTAGCTAGGAGAGGATTAGATTTCGGAGTTTAGTTATATTAGCTTGGGGATTGTACTCACCACCATCCGAGGGTGAATCCGAGAGCAGGGTCACAGAAACGGCCAGCGTAACCAGTGAAACCGGAAGACAAGGGTAGCCAAGCGGCCATTTCACCCAGTCCACACATGACCGTCCAGACGACGAAACCCATAAAACAGTATGCAATAAGCAAAGATCCAGGCTGTGATTGAGAAATGATTAGTTAATTGTAAAAAAACACAAGTTAGATGAATATTACATACTCCAGCTCTAAAAATTCAAATTACAGTCAGTTAATGTTCCATAAGCGATTGTATCAGAAAAACTCACGTCAACGCACTGCCAGTACCAACAACCAATCCAGTACCGATGGCACCACCGATGGCAATCATAGAAATATGACGAGACTTGAGCTCTCTGTGAAGCTGAACAGGCTCATCTTGTTCACTTTCTTTAAAATCCCCCGAGTTCTCAATGTAGTCAGGTTGCGCCTCGAGGGCGTTGATCTCGTCCGGGTGACCCATCTTGCTGTAGGCGGAATCGAGAATTCAAACTTTGAAGATGAAAAGAATCAGACGAAGGCCGGGGGGGGCCAGGGGAATTAAATGGACCAGCCCAGCACACAGTTTTGTTAAGCGAATTCCGGGGTCACATTTACGGTTATCTCTGTATCTCCTGTTTCGCTCTTTCCGGTGGAGACCAAATCCTGGAGAGCCCTGGAGAGGTCATGTGGGGGTTATGTCAGGTTCACGATCCAAGTATTTTCTTTATGTAACTCTTTCCTCTGCGAAGTGGATAAAAAGTCAATTTGCGGATATCTTTCGGGGTCTTTAGGGGCAATAACTGATCTTATTGGTCTTATTGGTCTTATTGGTCTTACCTTTTTGCCTCCAATTCATTCCCCCGCAATATGTTCCCCCACAGAATTGAATGCATGACACCAAGAAACTGTTTCCCCCATTGAATGTGTTTGTACGTTTTTTTTTAAAGTTGTTCCAAGGTTCCTCAGCCCGCTTAACAAAGCCCCTATATAACCCTTGAAAAGGTTAGCATAGCCTCTCTCCCAATATCTGGTCCGGTGAAGTGCGCCAAGTGCGCCAAAACTGGGTGCGTAGTGTTGGTGTGCTTGGCATCCTTGGCACTTTTGGCACGCTTACCCACGGGATAAGAAAATCTTGACTACGGAGTAAATGATAGCGGAGTAAATGATAGCGAGATCTATATACCGGCCCACATGCTCAACCCTTTATCAGTGGTATCTCTGCCTTGTTTCACTCATTTTCCGTGTGTGTTCCTGTCTAGAACGTTGGAAGATAAAACGCATATCACTAATTTTACCGCACAATCTACCTAGATAATTTTCGAACTGCCTAACAATATACTCAAAAGTCAAAAGCGGGAAGTGAGGTTAGTGTGTTCGGGCTAGGTTTCCCGAGCTAAGTCAAATTTCCCCACAAATGTTTAGTAATAGATATCACCAACCCGTGGACCTTCCCGAGGTCAGAGGCTCATCTAGCCATGATAAGGAGTCTTGGCCAAGTACAACATATAATCCCCAACAAGATGGATTTAGAATTCGAAAATTTTGAATCGTATGAGATCTATAATAAAAGAGGCTGCTAAATTGGTAAATGGGCAGATGGTGAAGATTCTAGAAATATATTATTTGAGGGGAAAAGGTTGCCACCATATATTTATGCTTTTATAACATACGTAGTTTACGGCTCAGCAAACAGAGTTTTTTGTAGCCTATCTGAGCGCAAAGATTTCTGTCTTTTACTTTGGGAGGCAAACACTAAAAAATTTAAAACTAAAATTAAATTAAATTAAGTAAACTCAGTCCGCTTACGCGAGACGAGGTCCTTATCAGTACGGAGTACGGAGTAGTTTATGTCGGGATAGTGCACGGACGGTATATCAACTCATTCCCGAGGTCGGGCCTTGGCTAAAACGACTAGAACTTCCAAGAGCTTCTAACATATCTATCTTTGCCAAAATTCCGAGTCGTTAAGCAAAATCCAGAGGCCGTGCACGACGCCTGATAACATTTGCGCCCCGTTTAACGGGTACCTAGGTAGTTAGTATTAAGATTAAACTTTCTATTTGAGTATCTTGGAACTACGCATGTGGCTTTCAAACGTAAAACTAAAATTATCTAGTCTCTTTTAGCCAGGGATCTTAATAATTTCCTATTTTGGGTTTTACTATCCCCCTTAAGAAACCCAGTAGGTTAGATATTTCGGTTTCGGTTCGAGGCTGGGACATGGTATACTCAGGGCTCTTTCCGTACATAAGCTAATACACCCTGGGCACCTGGGCATGGCGATTCAATTACTGAGCCTGAAGCAATTATAGTTGGTCACTACTGTCCTCTGTGCTGGAGTCCCAGGTAAGGCGTAACTAGGGGTAAATATCAAGCCACATCCAGATAATAATAAAATAGACAGGTACCATAGTGGTATCGGAAAGGAGTGGGTTCATGTTGGTTCAGACACCTAATGAGACATTTAAATTCATCGATTTCCACAAACCCGCCCCATCTGCCGCATGTCAGGATGATACCAATGCGTCACTCTATGGCGGTTTAGTAAGCACGAAGGCTGTACTGTCTAAGAACCCGACATGGGCACTTGATTTTGCTCCTAATGAACTCGGCTTGGTCTGGGAGATAGTATAACCAAAAAGCGTTGTGCAGACACGCTTGAGGCTATCGCTGATCAAGGGCCAGGTACTTTCTATATCGGACCGATTGTGGAGACTATGGTCAACACCATCTAGGCTCTAGATGGAACCATGACTCTAAACTATTTGAAAGCTACTCCTTACATTGTTTAGATTTTCTACAAACATGATACACCAGGCTCGGTGGGTCTCTTTTGATAGGATTGATGATATACTATTGACCGGAAATATGATGCTAGCAGACATGTCTCTGCCCAAATACACTCGATTAAATAACATGAAAGGCAAGATAGATAGATTAGATGAGTGAAGATGGTCAAACACTAAAGTGCCTAGGGTATATCGTTGACAAAAACCATCATATAGCACTCTGTCAGGGAATGTTAGGATAAAAAGTAGTACCCTTTCATCGAGCCTTTGCAGATCCCGGCAACTCGTGGAAAGTATCTTTGTAGGTAGGTAGCTCTGACACAGAACCTCGACCGTCTAACTCGCTCGGTATTCCCGGGGGCTGAAGAGGCTCGCTCTGCACCATTGATGGCTCCGTGGTTGGCATTTCCGCTTGAGATGATTGCTTCTGTGAGCGACGACGCATGAAATACCAAAACAAGGCGAGAATGATTGCTAACCCGGCAACACCACCAACCACACCACCTGCGATAGCGCCAGTATTTGAACTGGAGGAGCTACCCGAGTTGTTAGATGTTGGGAAACTGCTAGGTGTTGTGGAACTGCTTGCAGTCGGTGGGCTGTCTGATATCATAGAGCTGCTCGGTGTTGGGGTCGTGCCTGGTTATATCAGAATTGGGCGCATGTTGAGTATAAGCAGGGCTTGAATCTTACCAAGTGAAACCAGGCTTACTGACGTCCTACTCTCTTCATCAAGATCTTGTTTTGTCCCACATCCAACACCCCCTCAGACCTATTAAACCCGTATTGGCCCTGGTCACAACAGAAATGCCCGCCATCATAGTTTCGATAAAGATCCCAGGTTTCGTCGGCGCAGTGTTCTGCGTTACTGATTTCCTCTCTGCAGTCTTTTTTATCCGGACAACATATCCCTGTATTGTCGTTGTTGCAAGCATCGTTGGTTGGGCAGCATCGGGATAACGGCTGAGATGTTATAGGATCCTTCCCTGCGCTGGTCTGGCATTCTCCTCTGTGGCAGATGCCATTTCTGCGTATAGCGAATCCGAACGGGGGACCATATTCATCCATGATCGGAAAGAAATATAAAATACCAAACAAACGTTGATTAAGAAGAGTAGAAGTCGTGCGTGATATATATTTAACCAAAGGCGAGGAACATAGGACAAAGGGGGAATGACCTAGTTTAGAAAATGTTAGGATTTAAATGCCAACCGAAGCGAGAAAAACAGGTAGAGGAGAAAAGTTGGTGAAACGCTGGGGATTTTCTTTAGTTGAGGGACCCTGCGCTCTAACAGACCCTGCACTCAGGGTTATATTGGGGCCCCGTCTTGGCATTAATTAGCGTCATGGAATCAGTCTTGGCGAAGCTGGTTTCCTAGGCAAACCATAAGAGATAACCTTCTAGACCAGGCTATCGAAAGTAGTATATTATATGTACATTCTTTCAAGATGACCACCTTTGTTAGTGGATGGCCAGTGTCATCGTGGATAATCACTTTGTTCGTTGTGAAGAAGGGGGAAGGTGAATCGGGGGACAAAGCTCCTGGGGCAGTCCACTTGGGCACGGCCACCCGTGTGTGCATGCACTGCAGGAGAACAAGGCAAAGATCAACAATAAAAGGTCAAATTAAAGGAAAAAAATAAAAATAAAAAGGAATTTAGACAATTATCAAAACTGAATAGACTGAATAGGAGCCAGCTATCTGTAAAAGCAAATAATATCCATCCTTAAAATTGAAACATAGTACGGAGTATACGGCTGAAAGGTTCCAAGACTCCAAGACTGCGGGAAGGCACGAGGTTGACAGCACAGGGGTAAAGCCTACCCTATAAAAGATTCCCCCACCCCCCAGCCCCGTATCTTCTTCTTCTTCTTCTTCTTCTTCGCACCCACCACCCGGCGTGTCGACTCATCTCAAGCCGACCGACCACAAACGCCGTCGATTTAACCCCCCCCCCACGTCGATCTCTATTTCCTCCATCGACCTAACTAACAATAGCACCTGGAGGAGATAAAAAGTCAAGCAAAATCTCGTATTAACGAATACGAGTGTTGCGGTCGCTCCAACGAGAAGTGTCTCACTAAGACACGCCCTTGAAAAAGGTCATCAGACCTGCAAATTCTTGTCTTAAGCATCTCCCGTCTGCTCGAATATCCAACACTACTATGAAAGATCTATATATCTTTCCGAAAAATCAAAGTCCCCAGAACGATGTGTCGCTTAAAGGGCCAGTAATGTAATTCACCAGTGGTAAAGCAATATGGAAAATGCTCCAAGCTTTGGACAGCCCAGTAACAGCGAGCGTTTGGCGGAATATGCTAGGATGCTTTTGCAGCTCAACCTTCTTCATGGGAGAACGTTGAAACTAGACAGGAATATTGATTGAGACGAGCAAAGTCATGCTTATTTTGATTCGAGAGATTGGTCATTATTTACTGTTCCTGACGAAGCCGTATCGGTATCCATGAGCTCACGAGTCTGAAAGGCTTCATTTTGGCGTACCACCTGCGGGGCCTAGTCTTCCGACAACCGTTGGAGCCCTTGGCTCCTGTCTACCTGACCTGCCGCTCCTGTTTCTCGGGTCTGACTGAACTATGATTAATGGGCTAAGAATAGTTAATGTGCAACATCTTTCCTCCCTCCCTTTCGATTGCTCTTCCTTATTCTTCGTCCTCTTCATCCTCATCGAGGAGCATTCCTGATGGGACCATAACCTCTGCAGGTCGCCGCTGCAGCTCCTGAGCAACAGCCTCTCTTTGATACTTATTGTATGCGCCGGATCCTTGCATAATGTATTCTGAGTGTATCTGCAACCATCGAGTGGACATCGACAGAACCATTTGATCTGCCTCCCGCTTCTTTTGATCACGGGGGTTGGTTCGGGACGGCCGTATCCAAACCCCTCTAGGGTCACCTGTCGGCGGGCATCTTCCTCAGCCAGAGCGCGTTTTTCAGAATCATCTATCCAGTGCGCATTGTCACTCCTGGATATATGCAACTTGTAGTGTAGATCGTAGTAGTCCAAACGACATACAATGAAGCGTGCCCGCTTCATCTCCTGCTCTGGTGAAAGCGCTAGCAAGCGCGATCGTTTGATCTTTCGGGGAGTGATACTCGGCCTACCTCTTATGTCTCTCGGGATGTCCGTGTCATGCACGGGCCCGGGTGAGGACATAAGATTGGGCGTCTGCCTCTGCGGTCCACTACCAGGATCTCCTAAACTTCCCGTGTCCCCTCGAGTCTGTTCCTGCACTGATCATCACCGCCCTGTAGTGGAATTTGGTAAGTCAATGTAGTTTCTAGGCCAAATTCGAATCTCTCTGAGCTGGAATCTGTTCTTTGTGGGGTGGCTGGGTCTTGAGCAAGCGGGCATTTGGCGTACCTTGAAGCCGTGAATAAAGACGAGTAGCAGAGTTTTCCTCATTTTGAGATTCTCAGACAGCCATATTTATAAAATAAACATAGGGAGCGTGGAGTAGGGCATGGGGGTAGTAACAAGCTTCCACTACCAGGATCTCCTAAACTTCCCGTGTCCCCTCCGGTCTGTTCCTGCACGCGTGGAGTAGGGCATGGGGGTAGTAGCAAGCTTTCTGGACGTAGGTCCTCATCGGCCTCCGACCCATGCATACGAGCGGGAACAACTGGTGTATCCTCTGCGCCCGTCACCGCGATCTCTTCGGAGCCGATTGTTGGACTATTCTGAACCTCCGCCATATCCGTAGGAAGAGTTGGGATTTGATCGCGAGATCCCGCTTGTGTTCCATCCTCCTCGGGAGTGTGTCTGCTCTGGTTCAGATGATCTCTGTCTGCATTACCCAACGTGCCTTGTCGCAAAGCCTGTCCAATCTGGGCGGCTAGCTCCTTCAATGGCACATTGTTCTCTTCACCCTGGAACCGTCTCGCGGGCGTAGGCGGCGCTTTTCTCTTGTCCCATACAGGCGCAAACCAGAACCCCGACCTGGTCCGGTGCTCATCCGGATTTGTTTGCATGTCTCTCTGTGTCCTTTCTCTTTCGATCTCCTGTAGTCGTCGGTTTTCCATCCTAGCCCGCACCTCCTCCACTTGCGGAGTCGGACGCTCCCAGCTTCTCTGGTCTTGAGGGCATGACGGATCCGGACTAATCACCTCATTGCATCCAAATCTCTCCTTGCCATGTATCGAGAACTCCCCCAATTTCTGGAACACATATGCCTCGTAATCATCAAATCCCCTGGGAACGTACGATCCTGCCTTCCGTCCTGCATCTGGGATGTCTAGGGAGTATGTATCCCCGTTTCCGTCATCTGGGAGCTGACCAAACAGAGTTGCTCCTCCCACCCGATTTATTTCTAGGGCGGGGACCTTCATCCCCCGGAGGTTGTTGCTCACGAGCCTAGCCAAGGCAGTTTGCACCTCTCCTTTCGCTCGTCGGCTGATGGCTCGCGCCGATCTAGTGGAGAAGAGGGTATTTCCATGTTCCGCTTGAATCCGGTCTTTGATGGAGTTGAGTACGTCGATGAAATACGAGAAGTTCCAGAAAAGTTCCTGTAGACGGTGCTCATCTATATCAGCCCCGATAATCTCGCACTGATTGAATGGTAGCGATTGAATGCTGACTAGAGCACTCGTAATATCTTGAACGACTCTCGCTCGTGCTCCTCCCGGATCCCGTTGGCCGGGAAAGTCGTCGTCCCGGAAGAGTGGAATAGCATAGTCGTTCGTTTCTAGACGTTTCTTTCGACGCTCCCTTGCTTCGAGGCGGTAATCATCCTGGATACACGCTCTCAGATTTGGCAAATTCATGGCGGTCCCCATATTCCACTGGGTCCTCATCCAAGTGTACAAGTACACCGTCACCATTTTCCCCTTCAATTCTCCGAGCACGGTATGCTCCCTAAAGAAGCTGACATGATTCGTGGCACAGCTAGGTGCGGGTACTCTGTTACCCTTGATCGTTTTCGGGACGTCACCGTGGATATTGATCATCCCTACGTTCCAGCGGATGGTCACGCTTGTTGTAAAATTGGCGAAAACCACTCGGTAGTAAGGTAACCGTTGGTCTAGGGACCATTCCTCAGGAAAATCAAAAGGATCCCTCGTGAAGAGTCCGACAGGCAAGCCCAACCATCCTTTCCCGGGGCCAGCGAGTCGTCCATTGGTTAAAGAATAGGGTAGGTCGCGTATCGAGAGGTGACCGGCCGGGTCCGCCTTGTCCGGATCCGATATTTCTGGAATTGGAAAATCAATTAGATCCTCTTGGCTAGCTGAGGAAGAATTGCAGATGCGTCTCTTCCTCTTCCTGCCGTCTGTTCTGGTTCGGCGAAGTGGATCCTCACGAAGAGATTGTCGGGATGCATTCGGTTGAGGGACTGATTCTTCGATGTCTTGCCATTCGTCCTCGCTCTGACTTTGATCGTCATCTCGGCTGTCCTCGTCTGACGTTTCTTTGGAGATGACAATTGTCTCCTCCCGTGCCTCAGCCGTAACCCTCTGTTGGGGACGGTTGACAGATGCTAATTCAGGTGACATACTGAGACTAATAGCAAGATGTCCTGAACGTCGTGAGTCTTGGGTTGGAGGAGGTATCGTGATTAGGTGATAGGAGAAAGAAAATGGGGAGAGAGGAGGGGGGAAAGAGAGGATGTGATCTGGATAGTGAGGGTGTAGTGAGACGAAGATAACGATTCAGATCGAGAAATGGGGGTAGGGAGGTAGCAAAGGAGTTCTCTTTTTTTATTTCCTGCCTGAGTGTATCATATGCATGGTCCTTTCGTTCTCTCTCAATCTCCTCAGCTAACAATACATTTTCTTTTTTTTTCACTTTCCCTCATGATATCATTTGTTCGAGAAAACGCATTCTCTTAACAATGCTCCTTATCCATACTCCTCCTTTTTCCCTTTTTTCCTTTTTTTTTTTTTGCTCAAGCCCATCGAAGATCGATGGACCTTTGCCTGATTAGCAATGCCATTGTCACTGCCGATCTCTCGATGTGCAATGGAGGCGGCGGCTCTTGTTGGATCTCCTCCCCGTTCCGAAAATGGAACTCTTCCAAGTCGCGCTGATGGAATGGCCGAAGGTCGTCCAAATGGTACTTGGTTGTCTTCCCGCCATATAGTCGGCTTATCATTGCCGTGGACCGTCTAGGGTTGATTCTGATGAGCTTCCTAGGCCCAAACCATTTCGGCATCATCTTGTCTTTGCTGACCTTTTCTCTCCGCAAATCACGGACCAGGACTAGATCCCCTTCACAGAAGGCTTCCCTGTGATCCATTGTCGCCGTATACATTCGCTAGCCATCCAAATGCCGGCGCGAATATCTCTCGAAGAAGTATTCAACGTCTTCTCCGCCGGCATTCTCCGTTGCCCAAGACCAGACGAACCGAGAGAAGTAATCTACCACCACAAGGACGTACCTAGCTCCCGTTTCGCACTAAGGCTTGATAGGACCTAAGAAATCCATTACAATCATGTCTAGGGGCTCCAACTCCAAGATTCGTTGCATCGGCCCAGCAGGAGGTTCTTTTGGAGAAGAACTGGCATGCCCCACACGTCCGTACCTAGTCGGACACGTCCGTGGCACGCCTCGGCCAATACGCCTGTCCGATCATTCGACCAAGTGTCAGAGCAGTAGAATAATGTCCGTGATCGTCATGAAATGCTTTCAGGGAATCTTCGATCTCATGCTCGAGTAGAGAAGGCGACCACATCCCATTTTTCTCACGATATATCAAGGTCCCTGGAATATAGGGATGGATCCTTAGTCTCTTCGCTTGGCGCTGACTCAGCCTTCGTTGCACCCTTAACATCTATGCCAGACATTCTGTTTCATCTCTTAATACTTCGACCACTCCTCGATACATCGGAGAGCGCCGGAATGGCCTCCATGCGTCGGCCTGGTCCTAATCGTTCCACGGCCGTTGAATAGTTGGGATCAGATGGTTATCCTCGGATCCGTCCCCGAGTACACAACAAAGGTCCGGGACTCTATCCTCGGCCCGCGCCATAGTTGCTAGACGGGTCGGCAACCGACTCAACCCATCGGCTAGGCCGATGATGGGATTAGTATTGGGGAGTGATCAGTATTGGGGCGGTGATTGATACTAAAATCGTATTCCCTAAGGCGACTTTCCCATTGTATGATTCGAGAGTTTTCCGATCCTTTCGTGAGGATGGTTCTTAGCGCGCTATAGTCGGAATAGATGATCACGGGGTATCCTATTATCATGGAGCGGACTTCAGCTAGGCATTTCACAACGGCCAAGCATTCTCTCTTAGGATTTGAATAGCGAGTTTCCGCATCCGAGAGCCTGAAGGAGAGGAACATCACAATCCTCTCCGCATTCCGATGCTCCGGACCTACTATCGTCCCCGGTTCCGTGCCATATAACTGGAATAAGATCCCTCCGATGCCCGTCGCACTCGTATCTGTGGCTAGATGGAATTAGATGTCATAATCTGTTCCTGCGCACGTATTATTCGCGATTGCTTCCTTGACCGCGTCAAACGAGCGTTAGCACGCCGCGGTCTAATCCTACGCCTTTTCACTCCACGTGGTTCGGATGGTTCTCGGGGCTTTAACCAACCCCTAGGACTTCTTCTTAGCAACCTTCTTTTTCTTGGTAAGGTCTTCATCGCAGGGTTTAAGATCGGCGGACAACTCCTTCTTCTTGTATAGCTTGGCCGGTACCCTTTCCAAGTATGCTTCCTTTATGATCATTATATGCTCCGACCTCCTTGGTATGAACCTCCGTAAGAAGGGCGTCAGCCAAAGAAATCTGTCTAGTTCTTCCCTACTCGCGGGAACGGGCTAGTTGAGGATCTTCTCGCGGTGGCGCACGGATGGTCAAATCCCCTCACTGCTCCCCTCGAATCCCACAGCCTCCAATAAGGACTCGAAGACCCGAACCTTCTTTTCCGTAAGATATACCGGTCCAAAGATCACTTAGGGGAAGTAACGTTCATAAAGGAACATAGCGTCGAATATAAAGATCATGTGATCATGATTGTCTAAGATTAGATCACGTGATAGGGTTAATCAAGCCTTGGCACCTACAATGAAATCTCTATATGCTTTATCGTCTATTAATTTCGATCTTCTATAGTAAAACCTTTATTTCTTTACTTTTTTTTTTATGGCATCGCCGGTGGCAGGGGGTTGACAGCGGTACCTAGGTAGGTAGGTCGGTGATGACATGATCGGTGGCAGCAGGTCGGTGATGACATAATCGGTGGTAGGCATGTTGATGGAGTAAGTGGGGAAAATCTGGGTATATATAGCCTATTAAAACCATCTGAATATGGTCTTGCAAACAATGCAAACAATGCAAAAAACCCAAATAAACTAGCAAATAGCAATTATAGTCACGTGATCCATATAATCACGTGATCTTATTTATTATAAACCGTCATGATCACGTGATTTAATAGTGGCATTATTATGGGGCCGACCATGGAGTGGCTGGGGTGATTCAGGGTTTGTGTTTTTTACTGTGGTGATACCATAATAAATAACACCTTGGCCGAAAAATGGGTGCCAAGAAAGCTAGGACCAAAAGAGTTTAGTGAACTGTGCCATTAGTGTTCTACATGAATATTGCCACCCTCTCCTGGGTCTCGTGATGATCCTCTCTGGTCTCCGTCGTAAGGATGCTTGATGACTTCTCTCAGCAGATCCCCATCCGTATAACAACGGACGGCTGTCCCTCGTATATCTCGAACGTCTGCCCCGTTCGATCGAGGGTATTTCTTCGGGGCAGTTAGAAACCCTCCTTGTCGGAGGGTTCCTCTAGACAACGCTGAATAAAGCAGTCTGGAGAATCTCGGCAACGTTGGTTGATCCATCCTCCAGCAGGGAATGGCCAGATGCTTGCTGTTTGATCTGGTCCCAGCGCCTATAGTTATCTTCGACCTCTTTGGCGAGGCCAGACGCATGAAAAATCTCACAAAGACGAAAGTGAGTATCAAGAAATTCCCTACCAGGGAGTGGCTTCTCCTGGTGTCCGTCCGCCTGACGGAGAGTGACCATCGTGCCGTTCTGGATATGAGGATGGAGGATACTATCAAAGCGGGGGTACTTTTTCACGCTATAATAGTTTGTACGCTCCTAAAGAACCACTATTTAGTTTGACTATTTACGCGATCTCGAAAGACTTACCGTTGGTTGGAGTGCAATTTTGAAGGCCTGAAACTCAACGTGCACTAGATTGTGCAATGTGATCCCGTTCTCCAATGAGTTGATTCTGGAGGCTCTCATTCTCGCTTTCATTTGAGGGAAGGCAGTGTAGATGGATGCCCATTTAACAGCAATATTATGATCACCCTATCGAAAATTAGCAATTTTGTTATATATAATTATATATATAACTAGCAAGTTTGGTCTATCATATTACCTCTTTGTCAAACCCCCTAACGAGAACGGGAGGATATGATGCACTTCGAGTTTCCCCCAGAGCTCACCCTCGACTCCGCCGTTCTTCGCCCACTCAGCTTCTGTTGCTGCTCCACTTATGACGCAGCGGTGGTTGTCGCGGTCGATGCAGTCCTTCGCCCAAGCTGGAGAACGGACCTGGGGGTCGGGGAGCTTGGCCGCTACCCTCTCAACGCTAGCTTGGCGTTTATGGTGCGGAGACGGCGTGACGCAAGGAGTCTTTCCAGTTGAGCGGACTAGAGAGAAGATGTTAGCAAAACGGTCGTGTTTTTCGACTAGATGATAGTAATATAAACTTACTTGTTTCGATAACTGCAGTGCGTAGGTTATCGAAGACTTCCCATAGAGTTTCGTCACCCTCTGCGATGACGATGTCGTCAGCCAATAGGTCTTTCCCTCCTTCAGGGAGCCAGTTTAATGCTGCGTTTAGTGTCTTAGTGAGACACTGCTCGTTTGAGCGACCGCAACACTCGTATTTGTTGATACGAGATTCCGCTTGGCTTTTTCTCTCCTCCCAGGTGTTATCAGCTGGGTGGTCGACGGAGGACATACTCGGGGCGGTAGAGGGAGATCGACGTGGGGGGTTAACTTTACGACGTGGGGGGTTGGTTCGACGGCGTTTGTTGTCGGGCGGACCGGGAGGCTCGGGATGAGTGGACACGCCGGGGCTGGAAGTGGGGGGGATCGTCGGAAGAGGTGCCTGTTCAACGGAATTTCGTCTTCGTTTCGATCGAGATTCCATTTTGATGATTCAGATGATAAGAACAAAGATCTAGAGAAAAGACGAGGAAGACTGATAGGATGGAGGAGTGAAGAAAAAATTGTATCTTAGTTGAAAGAAAAAAATTTCTGCCGAATAAAACTTGGCGGAAGCACGTTCAAGCTAACGATGTGCGGTCCTTTCTACATGACTTCTCAAAGGTTCCGATTCCACCCACAGCCATTGCATATCGGGTAATCCCACTAGATTTGCCGCACGACCCTCTCCCAGAAGGTAAAGCTATATTTTCTTTAGGTGATAATCGTCCGTTCCGCTAAAGCATTACCCATTAGCATTCGAAGACCTCCTCCGCCGGGGCTCCTATCTTCAAAAACAACTAAGATTGCCACTAAATCAGTGCCATCTGTAGTATAAACATCTGTAGTGTTTAATTCAGCGTGATCCAGAAAATGGTCCACCACGAATCTTACTTGAGATTACCTACAAGTTCGCCAAGAAATACCTTGGAGTGACCCAGGAGTATGAATCAGTTTATTTCTACCAATGTTGTTTCAGCAAAAACATATGCCTTTGTTGAATTAGTACAAAAGCATCTGCGTAGGTAAGGAATGCCACAAGCCTGAAGAGCACATGCTTTAGCTAGCGGTAGCAAGGGCACAAAATACAACAGATTAAAACTCTAATATGGGGTATGTGTGTACAACGCGAGTGCTTCTTCTACTGAAGTAATCCTCCCATTCCAGAATCCTAATATAATATCACCACGGAACAGGTGGGATACATCGGGAAATTCATGGTTTTTGTACCGCTGTTCAACTTCAAGATCCGCGAGTTGTTGTCGCTGAAATCGTGCGCGTATGACATCGGGATCACTAGATCGAACGATGTCCTCAGGCTCAACAGGGTACAGATCAGTGTATGGAGCCTTGCCAGTTAAAAGCTCATACAAGGTTGAACCCAGGGCAAAAGTATCGGAAAGTATCGTGTTAGGCAACTCGTAATCCCTAGGCAAGCAGTGCGTTGTCTTTTCGTACCCAAGCGCGGGATGTCCTGGGTACTGGGACGAGTTGAAATCGCCCAAGCGTATGTTCAAACCATCATCAACGAAAAACTGTCGTAGTGCGAGATCAGAGTGGATAATATCATAGGAATGAATGACCGCCACTGCCTCAAGCAGTTGTTGGAACCACTTTGACCTTAGTTCAGGAGTAACCTCGTTTTTCTGACAGAAACTCGAGAGATCACCATGCGGATAGTATTTGATGTCAATGTAGTCCATCCTTCCTCGGGAGGTACACTGGGCAATGTGAGGGTGGTCATTCAGAAGGTTGTATATAGTTGCTTCGCGGATAATCGGTTGTAAATCCTCTTCACTTCCACTGCGAGGTGCTTTCCTGATAATTGTACCATCCACCAAATAAACCTCAGAAAAAATTCCAATCATGATGAGCCTTTGGTTGTCCGATTGCTGGATAAAAGGGCGATGTTTGGTGGTAATTACGTGGTGTTGGTTGTTCGTGTGAGAGGACTCCTGTACACAAGTCAGCGGAGAGAACATTACTGCAGATCCAAGTCACAGCTTACATTACGGGCTTCTTCGTCAAAGGTTTTGCAGTTATAAGGAGGGTGGCCACCAATCGCAGTCAATGCATGTTTTAAGCGTTCGAATGGTAAGAATATCGGTCTGCATATGTCCAACACTGCATGCCAAATAAAAGGCCACATCGGGAGGACTCTAGAGAAGAAAAACACGATGATGATATTCGTGGTCTCTAATGAAATCTATGCGTTGGGATTCAAGGCACCGGGGCGAGGTCAATGGGGAAGTTGAAGGGGCTGGGGCAAGGAAAGAAACCGTTAGGAGACTGCCGTCTCCCTTCAGCTGAGTCCTTTGCCGATTGTCAGCAATAAATAGGAGTAACCAGCTAACTAGTTAGTCTCCCAGCCTCACCTGATTGTTCTTGGCCGACTTACCAAGCGGTCAGTCACATGATAGATTTTCCCTTTTTATGTGAGGTGTTTCCCCTCTTCCCATGTCTTGTTGGTACACCTCATCCTCGCAACACATGCGAAATGGACTTCGATAATCTCGCAAAAGCGCAGTCGGATCGAATTTTTCAGGTGTGGATACAAAATCTACTCAGAAATTCACCAGAGGAATTGGCAGGCAAACTCGCTTCCCGGCATTGCCCTGGTACGCCCGTATCAGCCTCGCGGCTTCCAAATGGCGCCTTTAATATTTGCTATCGAGTCACTTACATAAATGGACATCGTGTCCTGGTTCGGTTCACAGCCCTTGGTCGGGTCATTGCTCGCAATGAAAAGGTTCATGATGAGGTCGCAATAATGAGCTATGTTGCTCAGCACACAACGATTCCTATTCCAAAGGTCTTAGGACATGGTAAGTGCGTGGTCAGTCCATACATTGTAATGTCTTTTATCGAAGGAAATGCGTTAAGCGGATACCTCAGAAATCCGCCGTCCCAGGAGACAATCACATTGAGTTCGAGTATCCCGACATCCGTCTTGAGGAGAGCTTATCTCAGCATGGCTGCTAGAGCTGTCGAAGCCTGAATTTCCGTATATCGGAGCCATCAGACAAGACGAATCAGGTGGCTGGACTGTGCCAAAGCGGCCACTCACTTTCAACATGAATCGACTTGCTCAATTCTCCAATATTCCACACAGTGTCTTCAGAGAACAACATTTCAGCAACGCAGCGGATTATTTTGAGGAACTGGCTCAGCAGCATTTCTATCATCTTGAGCTTCAACACAACGATGCAATTTCAAACGAAGCCGACTGCCGGAAGAAATATATTGCGCGGTGTCTTTTCCGCAAACTTTCGCGCGACATATCGAGAGAACATTGTAATGGACCCTTCAGGCTCTATTGCGATGACCTTCACCCCGACAATGTCCTTGTTGATGTATCAAAGCTTGTTGTCACTGGGGTGGTTGACTGGGAGTTTGCTTACGCTGCTCCTGTTGAATTTACATATGCGGCTCCTTGGTGGCTCTTATTGGAGCGTCCAGAAGACTGGGAGTCCGATCTAGATCAATTTTTGGTTCGTTTCATGCCAAGGTTTCGAATTTTCCTTGAAGTACTTCAAGATTGCGAGGCAAGAAAAATCAAAGGCGGATCTTTGTCACAATCCCAGCGTTTATCCATTGCTATGGAGAATTCATTGGAGACTGGACACTTTTGGATTTGCCTTGCTTCAAGACACAGCTCCATGTTTGATGAGATCTATTGGAATTTCATTGATCCAAGGTTTTTTGGTCATTTTACAACGATTGAGGATCGACTACGTCTGTTAAGCGCAGAGGAGCGTGTAAACATCGACATCTTCATTGAGAAGAAAATGTGCCAGGCAAGTGAGGGCAAGTTGATTTCTTATTACAGCATCGATGAAATAGTTGATCTATAGAATCATAGTTCTAGGAAGAGATTCCATAGGGACGAGTATTTACCTCTATTAATATACTATAGCTATTTATTATATTATTATTTAGCCTATTTATTAATCGACTTATCTTTTAATAGGCTATTCTTATAATGATAATAACCCTTTTGATTATCTTTATTACCTAACTTTAAATTATAAGATCTACTATTATAGCTTTGACTACTAATACGTTTTTAGCCTTTACTTTCTTTATAATAAGTTTTGTGGTATGAAGGGGCCTTTATGGGGGTTGATCTGAGTGACAGGGGTTCTGATACAGTATACAATACTACTGCGAAGGCAATTGCAACTAGTACTAATCCTAGACCGATCCTATCAAGTAAACTCGAGCTATCCGCCCCGACGCCGCGGTAGTAAGGATGCCCGTAAACGGATGCGACGAGTAAGTTCTACCCCTTCTGTTCCTATAAAGAGTATTCTAATCCTGGCAAAGTTCCTCGCAGGTGTATTCCCAGCCGAGCGCAGACTAACAACAGGATTAAGTTCTGGTGCAAGCGAGCAACCTAAGCTTTCTCTGCTCGTTGCCCCGTCCCTGTTGTAGATATCGACTGGGAATTCTCCTTCTCCTTCTGATTTATCGCCCGCCAAAGAATAAACACGAAGAAAAGTATAAGTATATAAAAAGTGATGGATCGATAATAGCGACATGAATCCACATCACAATATTGACGGCAAATAGGATACAACACCACGAAAGGAGAGGCGAAAAGACACAGCATGACGCTATTAAACACGGGATTAGACGCGCAAAACAGGTGTTTAACTGGAAATGGAGACATACAAGACTGGATGGTGATAGTACCCTATCTTTTGTAACATGAGCTCCGGAAGACCAAGAGGAGGGACAGGATGTTCGTCCATTGTATTAGACGCAGAAGGGGGAACAGAGATTTCGCCCATAACGACGTTAAGGAGGCACAGAAGAGTAGAAATGAAGTCAAATTCCACCTGGGCCCTTGAAGGTTACCTCCAGGACTGTCTGGACGTGATCCGCGCTTGGTTAATCGCGCCATTGAGAAGAAAAACAAAAGAAAAACTGCCCCCAGATCCACATTAAGTGGAGAAAGGGTAGGATGCTAAAGCATGAAATCCAATGGGAGGCACAGAGGTTTATATACTAGTGCTTGGGTAATGAGGCCTATACTCCCACTTACAAACATATTCAGAATCTCCTGAGTCCTTATTTCTGAACGAAGATCAGTTCCACTACCCTACTAGCTTCATTTTGGGGTTTGCTGATCATGAACTCTGAAGACTACAATTCTCGGCAACGAATGCAATGACGATAGTCTCTATGGCTAGTCCCTGACTTCAGCGTCGGTTTGCCATTCTCTCGGCCGACATCGAGGCCCTGACAGATCTCAACGCACACGCGGATATTATGGATGATGTTGTGCTAGAAGCGTTGACGAAAACAGCTATTAAACAGGCAGCTGAGAATTTCAGTGCTGAATACAAGGCAACCGATATCAATTCGTCTATTACTGTTGCATACGGCAGCTCGCCTGGTTTGTATATCCAGGAATTTGTCAATGATGGCACTGACTTTCGTGCAACGCTCGCTGAACTCGCGGACCTCGGGAAGCTGGCAGATCTAAGTATTCGATTGTATCCTACACAATTGGTTGAAAAGTTTTGCTCTGGTTCCGGACAGGCGTTTAGAACGGTCTCTCATGATATGACTGAGCTGGCAGGCAATGGAACTCCGTTGCTTGATAGGTCAGTCATTTTTTCATCAGAGCCAGATGAGGTGCGTGGTTAAAAGCCTCTCATAGAGTGTAGAATAGATGGCGGACATGGCCTAAGTACTAAGCATGCCCTAAGCATCACTAGTATCATTTGACTGCCTGTACTAGTGCAAATTAACAAGGTAACCTTTTAAGGAAGTAGTTCCTATACTTCCCAGATGTGAGATACTCAGTGAGCATAACCGTATAAAGTGTGAAATTCACATCTGTCTAAAATCTGGTTGATACTGTTATATGTAGGTATAAAGCAGTATATGAAACATTTATTCGAGTTCTTTTGAATGGATATTCTGACAGGCAAAAAAAAGGGGGAACAGACCAATCAAAGTGAGAGTAAAAACAGAAAATATCAGGCCCTGTAGCTTGATATTGATATACAAAGTAAAAAAGACACATAAAAACTCCACGGCGGTCAGGTTGAGTCACTTAAGTTTACCATGCACTATGACCGAAGAGGCAAAAAAACAGTCCACCATATCATTGGTTTTAGAGATTAACGGCGGTACCACATGCGTGTGATTCTAGTGTGTCTCATCTTCTTCTGCAGCTGGAAGATACCGTACATCAGTGCCTCGGAAGTGGGTGGGCCTTGATTTTTGTTAGTCAATTGCAACAGCACAAACGCGAGGGAAGAGGAAATGCTTACATCCAGGCACGTAGATATCGACCGGCACAACCCGGTCACAGCCCCGCACGACCGAGTAACTGTAGTGGTAGTAGCCACCACCGTTGGCACAACTGCCCATACTGATAACCCACCGGGGGTCGGGCATTTGATCATAAACCTGGCGCAGAGCAGGGGCCATCTTGTTCGTCAATGTACCGGCCACAATCATAACATCGGATTGACGCGGAGAAGCACGGAAAATGATTCCAAGACGATCCTGATCGTAACGGGGGGGTAGAAAGGTGCATCATCTCCACGGCGCAGCATGCGAGACCGAAGGTCATGGGCCACAAAGAACTTTGACGAGCCCAATTGGCAATCTGATCAAGGGTGGTCCTGGGTAATATAGGGTCAGCGGAAGTTCCAGGCGCATACTAGATGAAAGCTATAGAGGGCAAACGAACAAGGCATATTGCATAGCACCCTCCTTCTTCTCCTGGCTGGGCAAAGGCACCTCTCGGCGGGCCTTGCCTGACGCGGTCAATTGCTGGGCGGCTGCTGATGGTTGACGCTCGAGCGCTGTCGCTGATTTGATTGACGAGGTCGAGAGGGCCGCGAAGGGTTGGGCACGGGGGATAGATGCAACGAAACGGGGTCGCGCAGCTGTTGTCTGTTAGTGAATTGATATTGTCGATGAGGTGAAGAAGATCCCTACCGCACAGAGCGCCAGAGATGGCGGGCCTCGCCATCGGAAGCATCTTGAGAAAAGTCTCTTCGGTGGAGAGGAACAAGTAGAATAAAAGGTCGTGATCCCGGAGGTTAAAGAGAGAAGGTAATTGCAGCCTCGGCCAGTGACGACAGGTAATATAGAATTACAAGAGAGCAGAGGTGGCGGGCTCCGGGTAACTGCAAGACAAGGAGAACCCCAAAAAGGTTCCGATTCCAGAGTGGAAGAAGATGATGTATACCGACGGTTTGACAGAGATGATGTAAGCTATTATCTCACAGCTCATTGGCTCAGAGACTGTATTTTTCAATCACGAAACCTTGTATGGTAAAAGCGGTGAGCTGCTCGTAAATGGAATTGCCTGTGTGGTCATTGGCTCTTAGCTCCTTTTGCTGCCTCGATGCCTGAACGCGTCTTCTCCATACGTTATGCCGCGGGGGTTTAGAGACAACCACTCCACTACTGTCTGCACTTTTGATTGCAAAGTACCCGTCCCTTGAAAAGGCTACTCAATTACAGAACATTGTGGACATTATATGGAGAGATAATACCTACCCAAATTAGAACTCTCACTCGATCACGGTCTCGGGACAAGGGAATCAGTCCCTAAACTCCAAAAGCTCAAGTGATTGCGCCCAGTCCAGATACATTGCCACTTCAAGAGCTATCTCAGAAATGGCTGGTCCTAAAATTGCCTGCATTGGCGTGATTGGGAAAGCAGTGCGTATCGCTCTACCAACTTGTCCCTTTGGAATTGTTCATACTAACCCGATTGCAGGATAACCCTCTTCACATTTCCCTGTTTCCCCCATATTCGGATTCCACTATCGAATTCTCCTTCTTACTGAACTCCTGCCTCGACATTTTCGACATCCGGTGCAAACAAACATCCATTGATCAGGATCTAGGTCTATTACATGCAATTGACGAACGACTTGCGGCCTATGGATGGTTGACGACCACGGGGGTAAAACTATTGATCATTGTGGATTTATTCGGTCAGGAAGAGGCCAGTGATGGAAAGCAAGCAGGTGCTGCGATTAATGGGTTGAGAGATTCTGATGTGAAGCCGGTGTGTTTTTCCTCGATGCTTAGCGAATGCTTATCCGCCACGAGATCCCAGCCCCTAACTATTCCATATAGGCATTCCGCGCATTACAGAGTGCATATATCCAGCTTTTGCAGAATCCATTCTATTCCCCCGATGATCACGTACCGATTCCCGGGAATACAGCTTCTTCTTTGTCCGCTTGCCAGCCAATCTCTAACAAAAAGTTCGTTGCGGATGTTAAACGTATTGGGGAGTCGTGGGCCCCAGGTACTTCTCTGTAGGGAGAGTACTAATGTCACATCTTGAAGATATAGATAAACCCCTCGGTCAAACAGTTTCCCCAACTTACATTCGTATTAGACAGCAATAATCTTACCAAACTATTCGGACATTATCCATATTATTTCTTCAGTCATTAAGCTACTTTGGATTTCCACTTCGCACGGTGTATAAGTAATGAGGATTCTGAATATAATAGAACAGACAGAAAAGTATAACTATTTTGTCGTCATGCTAATTCAGGTTGGTAGTCTTAAGTTTCGACTTCAGTCTGCTCCAGGGCAACCATGATCTCTGACATCTCACGAGGGTCGCAAACAGCCCACACTCCACCACCTTTGGTGTCGACTCTCCCCACCTCTTTGCCAACCAAATTCCTGCCGACCTTTCCTGGTCCAATTCCGATCCACCGCCTCACGCCTCGTTCCTGATCAAGATAGCGAATGCTATCCCACCATCTCACTGTGTCAGTACACTGTCTGGAAAGGAGATCTTTGATGTCGTCCTTGGACTGGAATGGCAAGGCAGAAACATTTGATATGCATGGAACTGATGCTGGGAATGTGATGTTGACTTTGTCGAGAGCATCTCTCATATAATCCGCAGCTTGTGCCATAGCAGGGCTATGAAACGGGCTGTCACATTTCAGTCTGACAGCCCGTGAGTCGTGACCTCCAAATTGACGCATTTGGACCAGAAGTATTTTGATTCGGTCAAGACTACCACTTAGCACGATTTGATTTTTCGAATTGATGTTTGCGACCACCACTCGTTGAATTGATGGGACACGGTTATCCCTGTCGACTTCAATACCCGGTGATTCGGGGCCAATGAATTCCTGAACTGTTCGAAGCAAATCTTCCAGGTGCTCAGGTTCACAGAGAAGTGCAACCATGCCATAAGTTTCACCTGACTGTTCAGTCAACTGGCGCGTACACTGAGCCATCATTTCAGCCCGACCACGAACTAACTGTAAAGCGTCCCCGAATTCAAGATAGCCTCCGGCAACCAATGCGGAGAACTCCCCGAGGCTATGTCCAAGTGTAACATCGACCCGAGATTTAGTGTCGAATCCGAACTCCTGCTCCAAGATACGAAGTATCAGGATTGAGATTGCCATGACTGCAGGCTGTGCGTTTTCCGTTTTGTTGAGCTTGGAGTTGGGGCCATCGGATATAATGCTGGACAGTTTGAACCCGAGGGTGCTATCCATCTCGTCCAAAACCTTAGCTGCGGTGTGGGGGGAAGCTTTCAATCCAGCTGTTGGCCATGCCAACCCTTTGAACGCCATGCCCTATTGTGCATTAGCGGCCATTTTCAGGTTCAGAGATAAAAGGGGGATGGGGGGCGGCAAACCTGGGAAAAACAGGGCTGTGTGTAGGTCTCGTCTGAAGGGCAGGACATTAAGGTTTGTCGGTCTCGAAGGTGTAGCCAAAACTTGTGACGCGACATGCACAATGGATCTAAGTCGAAGGTGACTCCTGGGATGCGAGAAGCGTGAGAGCATCTTCTCTATAGTTGCAGCTATAAGCAACCCTTTTGGGCCTTGATCTTGACCGTATCAACACAACATATGAGCATGGTGGCTATTTTGTAGTCGCAAGAGTAAGATCCGCTATCCCATGGAGCGAGGGAGAGTTGTTCTTCAGTCCATGCCAGTGTTTATCAAGGGAGTAGGGAGTGGCCTCCGTGTGGGGTTAGATGTGGGATTCACGTGAGCTCCTTTTTTTCGGGGTAATCGGCTATGCAAAGATTTCCCCGTATAACCGTCGACTGTTATGTATACATAGACCTCAATGGAGCTTACATGGTACATGTCTGCTATACTGATTTTATTTAGTTATATTCTAAGAGAGATCACTAATATATACACATGCCTACCTACCGTACTTTAACCTCATAGTTAGTTATAATATAGCTAACTAGTTAAATACCTAATTGAGATTGGTGTAGTGTATGTATTCTATTGGTATTTGCTCTATACCGATTATTACCCAAGTATGCAGAGCTCCACATGTCAATAAGCAGAATAGGCTCAAATCATGTAAAACAACTATTACAAAGTCAATTGACCGGCTATTTGCCTATGAAATATGAATGAATAACAGTTTTTATTGTGAGTACTCCCTATAATGTGCACAAAATTACAATACACAATGTATACAATAGTACATGTAACTTACGCATTTATGTACCGACCTGTAACAACATTATTCTTGTCTCACCGCCTTCGGACAAACATCCTCGATTGTTATTGACCAACCCTATCGCTGTGATCACCGTGCTCCAATTCAAACGCATCTGCTTGGAGAGCTTTCTCCTCCCTTTATTTTTATTTTTTCTCTTCTCTCCGACCTTGCACAAACCTTGAAGAGTGAATCGGACCCCCAAGGGTCAACAATCTTCGAAGCTTTCGCCAGCTAGCGTGTTCGCGACACAGGTTACGTACATATTGAAAATGTTCGTCCCTAAAGCCGGTGGTCGCAATACTCGTCGACGCCAACGAACAGGCTCAGATGACTCCGTCAACCCACCAAAGGCCAAGAGACAGCGCTCCGTCTTGCGACGCCCAGATGAGTCCCCTTCCGACACCAACCTGGGGCGTGAGCTCGGAAAATTAGCAACACCCACGGCGCCAAATGGTGACATTATTACCCCTACGGATCAGATGAACAACTTGCATCTATCAGCCCGTGTTGTGAAACAAGGCGACGGATCTGGAAACAATAACGAGGGGACAATCGTTCTGGTGGGTTACTTGAATATCTTTGCGCGTTCCTTCAGACCTTCAAGTCCAAAGTGCTAACTTGCTAGGTTTAAAGTCAAGCACTGATTTCTACACTGTTGATCAACTACCATCTTTGCCAGATCAGATTCGTGGCTTACAATCAGGTACTTCAAACTCTATGGCTTTTTCTCACCTTGGGTTGCGGTTTGTTGACACTCACCCTCTTAACGCAGAACCCCTCAAGTGCTTTTTCGGACCTGGTCATGATCACGCATTAGCTTTGACCCGCTCGCATGCCATCGTGTGGCCCTATTCCGCGCCCGCTTCGTCCCCGTCTCCGTCGGAGACATTCACGGTATCGATTCCGGAGTCTTGCAGAGATCCCAAAGGTGCCGTCCCACTCGGAGTTTTATTATCCACGGCTACAGGAGACCACCCGGGTCTCTTGGTGGTCATCCCTTCTACAGGAAATGTCATTTACTGGGAGACTGTGTCCAGTGCCGCGTCACTAGGTTTATCCCGACAAAAGCAGAATGGCATCCAAGGATCCACCCCTGGCATGCTTTCCGGTGAGTATGCCACGGAAATACTCAATGGGGAGCCTTCGGGAATCATTGTCACGTTCTCGTCCGGACGAGTAGCACACATCACTCTGAGGGACCCCCAGGGAAAGCCTTCAGTGCTCGTGAATTTCCTCAGAAGCACTGCAGGGAGTGGAGGCGGTGGAATTTTCGGGGGCATCAAGAGCGTCTTCGCAGGTGGGTCATGGAGAAAGGAGGTCACTGCCGTTCGGGCTGGTGGCTCTCACCAACGAGGCCAGCGAGATGTCCTTATTGCAACTTCGACTGGATTGGTTGAAGTATGGGACACGCATTGGAACCACGGCAACACCCTGAAAAAACGATACGATATCAAGAACGAAGTTCTGGCGGCCCTCCCTGAATATCACGCGCAAACAACAAATGATACAGAACTCAAAGTCGTGGACTTTGCGTTCTCTGTCCTGCAGTCTTCCGACGATGCCGTTCAACTTTCCGATGGGTCCTGGCGCCTCTTTCTGGTTGTCAGGTCGCCACAGTGGTTAGAAACTAGGGCACTATTCGTGGTTCAAGTTCACCTGTCAGGAAATGAATCTCGTGTTATGTCAACGCACCCCGTGGATCTTCGCCATATTCCCGCCTCCCAGCTCGAAACCTCGAAACCCAAGATATTTGTGCCGAAGCCAGAAGAAACGGCTTTCATCCTCATTGGTCAATCTCTTGTTATCTTGTCGTTGGCAAGTGTTGAAGAGAGTCCATCCTCACAACTGCTTCTCGATTCCAACAAGTTGCCTTTGCCTTTCCAGGACACTATTCACTTGCGCTCAGGCACAGATCACGAAATCCTGGGGTCCATGGCAGAGGACCAATCAAACGATTTCTCTTGCGCAGCGTGTGTGCTTATGCTTCGGAATTTCGGTGTAATTCGTGTGGCGGTACTCCCTCGTCCTGGAACAGAGCAAGACGTCGAGGAACCTCAAGTCACAGCAAAGCACAAGCTTGAGCAGGCGGTTTTCTTTGGGACCATGGCAAAGAATCCGTTGAATTTATCCAGCGAAAGCGACTTGAACTTCCCCCCATCTGAAATGGAGGAAGCATCCTTGGAAATATGCAGGGAGCTGCTCCAGTCAGAGACTCGCTTCATTCCCACCACTGCTATTTCACTAGAGCAAAATCTCCGCTTGAGAGCAAAGGCACTAGATGATCTTGCCTCATTACTATCACACCAAGGCAATCCTTTGAGTCGACCGGCAAGATGGGAGCTGCTGTGGGCCGCGGAAAAAATTGCAGCACAAAGAGCTATGTGGAAGATTCAAGAGGCCTATAAGATCAAAAATGGAGACGAGGAGACTTTCCTCGGTCATGTCATTGGATCCATGCACGATAAATTCAAGACTCCAATCAACCCCCAACACGGAGATACCGATCCTATACGTCAATGGTTCCTGAGAGACTCTTACCGCATGGAGCATATCATCCCATGGATCAAGAACGCAATCAAGCTCGGCCGGGGCAACACTTCCAACCCTGCGCGCACATTGTCAGAGAAGATCCTAGCAGCCAGTGAGCTGTTCCTGGCGGTCACGGAAACAGCTTTCCGATATCGCGATGAGCATGCTGCACTCTATGGTCTTACTGGAGACTTCCTAGAGGATGGTGTGCTTTCCGATGGATATGAAGATCTTCCTGAGTTCTGGACATCGAGAGGTGTCGGATACTCTGAAGCCGGCCATTTGCTGGACTTGGAACTGGATAGTTGCCGGTCATGGAAAACACCCGCATCGGCTGCAGAGACTCCTGACACGCAGGTTCTGAATCAAGTTGCGAAAAACAGCTATCGACACCTTCGCGTGATCGGTCAAATGCATCTCGAACGAACTCGATGGCTTTCTGCACAAGGAGATCCCAAACTAATGGATGAGAGTGTCTCGATTGAGCAGGCCCATGTCGTAGACCGCAAGTGGCAACTCTTCAAGCTGGCTGGTATTGACCATCTTGCCGATGCCGTCGAGCTAGCAGAAAGCTTCCGAGACATGGGAGCGTTGGTCGAGTTGATCATCGAGCTTCAAGACCAAAAAGCAACTCAAAATCCGCGTACAGAACCACAGAATGATGTTTCCACGAATCAAACTGAAATCGACGCAGACCAATTGATCGCCAAGTATTTCGACAAGTTTGGTGCCCTATGGGCAGATGCATACTTCTCCCGGCAAATCGTGATGGGTTACCCAGGAACGCTGTTTACGATGCGAAAATACCAATCTGCCGTCACTCGATTCCTCCGAAGTAGCCCCGCATATTCTCGCCTGAGCTGGATTAACGATGTCATTGGTGAAGACGACTATGACACTGCCGCAACCTCATTGGAGAATCTAGCGATTACCGGTGAAAAAGACTTGTGGAGCCACCGTGTAGAGATCTCGCTGGCCAAGCTTGGCAAACTAGCGACGCAGGAGCGAATTGATTCCCCAGTTGTGACTTCTAAGTTGCAAGAGGATGTGAAGCGTCTTGAGAATTATGTTGAGGTTGATGGGGTCCAAGACATCCTCTACTTGCACATTGAGCATGTCCTGGAGGGTGCTATTGACCGAAAGGCAGCGCTTGAACTAGCCATTGGTCAGTATGGAGGACATATCTTCGAAGATCGGCCATCGCTTCATGAAATCCTGAGCGACGCTCTCTCGACCTTGATCGACAGACAGGTTGTCGGTTCCGATGGCTTGATTGATATCCTGACATTGATGGGCCCTACTCAGCTGGCAGATGATAGCGAGATTGAGTTTGCACGGAGCGAGTTCCATCTCGCCTTGCAGGTTCTTGATTATGGACGCTACGGCCAGCGAGACCCATCCTACCTCATGGCTTTGCAGAGGTTGATCTGGCGACGGTGCTTGATCAAAGATGATTGGGTAGTTCGGGGCAAAGCTGCTGAGGGCCCCAACGGCAATGAATACAGCTCGGTCGCCGACACGACGCTCTACCGATCACTAACTGCATGCTTGGAAGGTGAGTTTGCTTCAACCATAAACACTTTGACTAAGGGGCTAACCAACGTACTATGTCTAGAACCTCGAAATGCCGGTGTGCACTCTGCTTACAAGCCTCTCTCACCTGCGGAGGCTCTGATGACTGACTCTGATTCCGATATTCTTGTGTCACGGTTCCGCCCCGAGCAAAAGTCTCGTGTGGCGACCGACCTTCAGACCGAAAATGATATTTTGCGCCAGTGCATCGAAGTCGGAAAGCTTGATTTCTGGTTCCAAAACCTCCGGGAAACTGCTGAGGTCCACATATCGCCCCCCGAATAGAGTACCTATGATTGATGGTGAAGTTGCTGGAGCAAACGATTGCATTTTCTCTACAATTGACGCGGGTTGGGGTTGAAATGGCGGCGTTTTCAATATTCTTACTCGGTTATTCAATGGCCAATGGGTCATAATATGTTGTATGTATGAAATCTCAAGAGATATTTCGAATGTCGTATTGTTCAGGCCTTCGGTAAACCCCAAAGCTACGTTGTACTTGATCATAGACTCTCTCATTCTTGGAGTGAAATATGAATGTGATGCAAACTTTGATTTGATTGTTTTCTCGGGACTTTCATAACAAATATTGCTTCCCGTGACACGCGAGTCACGAACCTTAGAGATTACGTTGTTCATATTCTTAACCTTGGAACTGCATGCCATCCAGATGTTGGAAAGCTCAAGTCGCCGCGGCGAAAGCCAAGACTCCCTAATACTTCCTTCTATCACGATCAGCCTCGCTATCGTTGCTACTGGCACTCTCGACCTTGGTCACGGTATTATCATTTCCCGCAACGATATCAGCCTCACCAAGATCTTCTTCCTCGAACACAGGCTCCGGTTCAAAGGCCTCAAATTTGGTGTGGAAGTCAGACAGACCCTGGGTGCTACTGTTGGAATGACGTCTAGCATTGGCGAACGAGTAGTCAGTGTCCTGCATTTCCTCGCCGGATCGACCCCTTAACAAATGCAAACATTAGCTGGGTGAACACGCATGGTTTGTGACGTGCTTTGATTACCAATTGCCTTTGCCGCCACCGTCCTTCTTTGTCTTGCGAGGATCAGCATCGGTTGGGCCGGACTTGGCGAAGTAGCGTGGGATGTTTTCACGCGTACCCAGCACGCCTTCGGTCTGATATTCGCGGTCGTTGGATTTGTGTGAACGTGTCACTAAGGGTTGGTTGGTTATGTTAGTAGGATGGTGGTGGATTGAGATTGTATATGTATTATGTTTTGATGCCAAGGAATGTATCAATACGAGATGGATGCCTACTGGTTTCAATTTGAATGTTTGATGTGATGATAGATGGGGAATTGACTCAAGGGGAAATGGGAAAGAAGAACAAGAAGAGACAGGAGAGACAGGAGAGACAAGACCAAGGTATCATGCAATTCAAGAGGGGGGGACTCGTGACCTCATACCCTTAGAGAGTGCGGGGGTTGGACTAATCGGGGGCTCCACCAACCTTATTTCCTCTTAGAGCATCACCTGTAAACATTTACATCTTCTAACATAAACAGTATTCGATGAAAGGACAAGACGGAGAAGATCGGTTTCTTGTTTCTTTCCTTGAGAATTGTCAACACTCGACGCTGAGAAATTATCTCGAGGAATTGGGGAACCAATGCCCATATAAGAGCCTCTAGCTAACTTGTCAATTCAGCAAAGAGTAACTATGAAAGAACTTACAGCTAGTCATAGGGAACAGTTGCTTAGCCTGCTAGAACCTAGTTGTCTCTATATTTTCCTCATCTAGGATTATATATTTTATTCATTAGAACCCCCAGTACTAATTATATATATTCAACGGATGGTACATTATCATGCCTGATATAAGCAAAACCCCAGCAGTATTGTATAAGATTATATTAATCTGAATAGTTAGAGTCATGTAAGATATAAGTATATTCTTTTATTCCCCAAAGTATCATATTCATATTATATATATGGCTGGTGAAAGAACTCAACATCAGGAAGAAGGATATTCCCAGAGGCCTTACACGGTCTACTCATCTTATACTTAGCACGCAAAACATACCCATTGCTGCTTATATATAGCAAGCGGTTGAACTCCACAACAATTATTAGACATAGAAGACTGAGTCCTGACTATAGCCCTTAGGGCTGTAGCTATTTCGGGACTGTGTCTGATCACCCCCGGGACTAAGCTTCTTCGAATCTAGCGGGGAATTTCACAGCTTAGAAGAGAGAGAGCGGAGTGCCCTAGAAGGTACTCAACCTATCAAATGTACCTACATGCCATCATTGTGGTCTAAGGCCACCAATGAATATGTAGCTTAAATACCACATCCACTTTAATATAATTTTTTTTTTTTCGTTCTTCATGCTCAAGACCCCAAACCATCCACGATGTAGATAGATAGCAGGGCTGTTGTTTTAAGGTTATATATAGCGTAGCTATCTCAGCCGGAACTTGGGAATATCATAACTAACGTATAACTAGTTATGGTGATTCTTTGAAATATGAAGATTAGACTGACGATCAGGCTAGAACTGACCTGTCGTCGCTCTCCACATTTGGTGCTAGACACACGGAAGATGAACCGGATATATACTATGGGGGCGAATGAGATAGAAGGACGAAGCAGGTCATCTAGTTGGACCAAGCATCACGCCCCAGAATAAGCAGGTGGGACTACCCAATGCATCTTTCTACAATAACAGGCTGAAGCTGATTGAACTTGAATGAACTACAACCCTTGAATTTTTGGGATCATGTCTAAGACTGGCAACGCGTAGCTAAAACGCCAGTTCAAATTTGTCATACACGTTTGAACTTTTTTCTTTTCCTATGACCAGAAGACAATCATTTGCCCCGGCTGACCAGTACGTGACACCACTTCATTGACATAACCTTTAAACATTCTCGAGAACGGTCTCCTTGAACTCCCGCTCAACCTTCTGTCCCTTGTCATCAGTCGCGGACTCTCCGTGCAGAGACAGGAGAGCACCGAGGTCGAACTTGGGGGACTTGAGGAGCTTAACCTTGCGAATGTGGACCTGTAGACATGTATGTTAGCAACCCGTATATATAGAAATATATGCGACTCTCCAGTCTTGGGGTGAAAAAAAAAACGAACATTCTGCAGGGGGTAGATGCCCTGGGTGGACTTCTCGATCTCACGTCCAATAACCTCGGGAATGAGCTTGTGGGTGAGCTGGGAGAGAGTGCAGGTGGAGGCCTCGCGCTGGATGATCTCGGTCATCTTCTTGCGAATGGCGCGGATCTGAGAAGAACGAGCGTAGGTGGTCTTCTTGATCTGGTTGGGGCGTCTCTTGGTGAAGGCAATGGCGAACAGGCGGATGAGGTAGTCGTCAGTGGTCTTCACGGTGATGTTGGCCTCGATCAGGGACTGCCACTTGCGGACAAGGGAACGGAGCTTGTCGGTGGTGAAGTCGAGACCGTGGAAGTTGGTCAGGCAGTTCTTGCCCTGGACCTCGTCGACGCGGAGCTTGACCTTGCGGAAGGCGTGGTCCTCATCGTTCTGGAGGTCGGCGAGGGAGACCTCGAAGATACGGCCCTTGAGGGAGTCGTTGGCGTTCTTCAGACCGCTGGTGCGGTTGACCAGAGTCTTGCCGACACTGATAATTCCGTTAGTCAATCCATCTCAAAAATTTCGCCATATTCGATTATTCGGGTGGTTTGCATACTCGCGGGTCTGGAAGGTGGAAGGAGCCTGTCGAAAACGATTAGCATTGCGTCTGGGGAAAATGAAAGGAATAGAACACACCTTCACAGAGTACTCGTCCTTGCGGGTGAAGGGGTCGACTGTGCGCTTCTTGATACCCTTCTTACCCTTAGATAGGCGCTTGTTCCTGAACGAAGATGATTAGCCGTGTGTTCGTAAATTCAATGGATGCCGTAGATGCGCAAGTAATTCGATAAATTGGAAGCAGGAAAAGGATGAAGAATAGGGCGCTTACTTTCCAACAGCCATGATTGCGAGTTATCTGTGTGTTGTTGGAAGACAGACAAAGGTATCGCACCGCGCGCTCAGAGGGTTTCGACACTCGACTGGGAGGGTTGAAAACCCACAGAAAACTCGGCTAAGCGAGGCGCGGGCCCTAGCTGATTATGTCATTCACTGGGATCATGTGATCGAACATTAAAAAAAGGTCCACGGGGATTATCATTATGTCATTGGCTTATGTCATCTCCATACAAGGGCATTGGAACGTTGCCCAGAGTCCACTGTCAGATCACACTTTTGTATTAAATGGAATGTGGTAGTTATATCCTTGGCTGTTTCAATTGGCCCTATACTATTGGCGCTAAAACTTTCCTTCTGAATGTTGTACTTGTATACTTATGTATTGGATTGGTTCTATTTGTACCATTTGCTAAAATCAATACTCTTTCCTCGATAATTCACATGGAACCCTCCCAAATTCCAAATTGCTCCAACATAGACCCTTTCCATACGAATTCTAGTGTATTGTACAATGTAGATCGCTTTGTGGGAATCGCCACCCATTGACATCACAGGTCGGAATCTGGAGGCTCATTATTCCGTTTCCCAATTAAGCAAGTCGCCTTGGCATCCATGCCGCGGGCCTACTCCCGCGCGAGTTGACACTTCTCATTGCTTCACCTTCCTTCTCATCCCTTCTTCTTTTTAAATCCCGTGTCGCAGGTCAACTTCAGCATGGTATGTGGCATTATTTCCCTCTTACCCAACCGCCCCGACCGCCCCTACCGTGGATAGATGCTAATTTCTACAGGGTAAGCGCAAGAAGTCAAGCTCGAAGCCTCAAGGGCCCCGAAAGGTAAACGAATCACAAGTCGCCAGGTTTTGCACTCAACACTGACTGTAAACCATAGAGGGAGCCTCTTGCTACTACATTTTCCTGTCTCTTCTGCAACCATGAGAACTCTGTGGTCGTCAAGTTAGACAAGAAGCTTGGCCTAGGCGATCTATCCTGCAAAGTGTGTGGCCAGAAATTCCAAACTGGTATCAATTGTGAGTTGATAATCACCCCATGGCATCAGTCCTAACTATTCTGACTAACACAACCTTTCAAAGATCTCTCTGCCCCCGTGGATGTATATTCGGACTGGGTAGACGCATGTGATGCAGTTGCAAAGGACACAGCCAACCAATATGACGCACCGAATCCGAGCCAACAAAGGGGAATCAGCAAGCAGGGTATTCCAGAAGAGACTGGACAGGGCGAGAGCTATGATGATGAATACTGATCATGGGATGACGGCGAACGGCGCATTAAAGGCACGATATCAACAATAATTGAGTTGTGAAGTTCTTGTATGTACATGGTATTTGATATTCTTGCTACGTATTCTTGTTGCATATGCTTATCATATCTCCCAAACTCCAAGAAGTGTCTCACCCATCTAGACCTCTACCCCACTACCGGGCATCAAGTCAACTCTGAGTAGGCGACTTGTATGGCGAAGTGGAAGTGCCTTACGGCATCTGGAACAGACCAAACAATGGATGGATAATGGAACACTGAATTACTCAGAATTTCCAGGTGACCTTGTGACCACTGATGTTCCTTTCAACGTGGTAGGAAACAACAATATTACATAGAGTAATATCTATCGCCGAAATCTCCCAGGCCGGGGATAATATACCTATCAATCAGTCAGCATGGCAATCACAACATCCAAGGGGTGTGATATTCTCACTTTTTCTCATCCAATCCTTGATCAATGAAAGAGGTCACAACACGGAGCTTAGGGAATCTCTCTGCAAACTCAGCAACACCAGACGGGCTGGCAATGAGGTTAAGGAATAGGATCCGGTGTTCAGGAACGCCTCTCTCGATCAGTGTCTCCACGGCCAGAGTTGCAGAACCACCTGGGGAAAAAGAAAAATCAGCTGGGTGGCCATGGGCATTGTAGACCAAGCTCAACTCACCAGTTGCAAACATGGGGTCAAGGAGAAGGACCCATCGATCAGCAATGTCAGTAGGGAGCTTATCGTAAAACAGTTTGGGCATACAAGTCTCCTCGTCCCGCTGGATGAGGATTTTCCCAATGCGAACAGATCGGCAGCAGTCGCGCAATCCTTGTTCCATGGCTTCGCCTGCGCGCATAATAGAGACACCGCAGATCTTTCCTTCAAATTTGACACCAAGGTAGGACCGTCCAACGGGGGTAGTGATGGACTGTTCAACAACGGGGAGGTGGTTCAAGCCTTCCTCCACCAGTAACCGAATGATGCGGTTAGAATAGAAGATGAAATCGGCACGGCTGGTTCTCTTGTCTCTAATCATCCTGTTTGTGGTCCAAAATATGAGTCTAGTGTTACTTTCCACGCAGAGAATGGGTCCTCACGTCAAGAGAGCAATCAACTGAGGTGTTTGAGGTAGCACGTGGACATTCTCGTAGGAGACTTCCTTTGAGACTGTCGCAGTGGGCTTCTCACCATCGGGCCTATACAGAGGACCAACACCCTGCGCAGGAGAAGGACCACTCTCTGGTTTGCTAGCCATTATTTTGCTGCGTCCTAAGATGTGTCGATGTGTGTGGGGTCGTACTAGGGAAAGAGAGAAAAAGAGATGTTAGAATATGAAAGTGCCGGAAGTTCAACCGAGACAGTTGAAGTACCTTTAAAAGGACAAGAGTCCAGAGAGAGAGGGGTATATAGTATAAAGATAGGGCCTTTGGATGCCTCAAAGCCGAAAGCGGGGAAGTATGTAGGGTTTTCCTCTTATCTTTCTGTTCTATATCTGGAGGCTATACCGCAGTGGGTGATTCTGCCCCATCTCACCCTCCCCTCCCTCCGCCTCTTATCAACTTGCATCATCTCCCCAATCAGACCTCGGATATCAATTGTTTCATTAATCTTCTCAAAGAAATTGCCTAGGTAATTTACACATTCATTGCCAATTACCTAGGGGTCACTCCTTTGATGACTGCGCCACACCCTTTGAGCCTGTTTAAGCTCCATTGAACACCGAACGCCGCAGGGACATGGATTCGTCTCAAGAAATGACTACGTTTTACTCAATGCTTTAATCCAATTGCTCCTCAACATACCTTGATTGCTCTTTG